ATATTCAGTTGCTATTTGAATGTGTTTGTTGGAGGGATCAACAACAAGGTCAAGATGGCCGAGTTGGTCTAAGGCGCCAGTTTCAGGTACTGGTCCGAAAGGGCATGGGTTCGAATCCCATTCTTGACATGATTTTTTATTTTTTATTCTATTTTTTCAAATCCTGTCCAGTTTGTATCTTCTTTGAATAATTTGAGGTCAGCCTAAATATTTTTATAAGTTGACCATATTTAGGGGAATTATATTTGAGTTTAGTGGACCTTAATCCAATCCTTGAAAATGAGAGAGTTGAAGATTTTAGATAAAAGTTTGACATCACATCTACACTACAGTTAAGAAGAAATTGTATTTGGAAATATGCTCTGCTCATGAATGTCTAAAAATAGTAAAGAAATAGTTGGAATGATATATACAAATTGAAGAAACTTGTTGCATGGCTAATGGGCGAGATGGTTCTCAACAGAAATCGGTCAATGCACTACGTAGTGGTCAGTAATTGGCGACATTTGAGGGCATGTAAGGAAACAGAGAGAGTGAGGCGTTGGAGAGAAAAGTGTTGAGCCTAGAGAATTCCACATTGTCAAAACTAGGTATGGTATATACACATTACAAGGACCCCCAAACCTTCTTCTTCCAAATTACGTCTTTTAACACCAGCAATCTCTTTGGTGATTTTTGAACATCAGCAATCTTTAAAGAAGCAGCTTCAAAGGTGCTTCTACGGAGCGGTCCGAGACCGGAGGAAACAGGAGCTCAACAACACCAACAACAAAAAAAGTTAAATAGTCAGTTGGTAAGACACAGATCATATGGTATATAATTATATGGTGGCATGCTAATGTATTTATTTCCATTTTCGTGTCAAATCGAAATTAGTTCTCCTTGTTGAGATTGAACAGCTATTTTTGTGATGTAAAAACTGAAGACAGATAAGAAAATGCGTGTGGAGGCTTTAATTTAGGATTGTTTTGTAACTAAGGCTGACAGTGTATGATGGTCAATGAGTCTTTAACCATTTCCCTAGTAACTAAATTCGTCTTCCAATGCCTATATATCAAGAAGACGTACCGCCATGTTAATAGGATTAGCAAGTGATTGATTGATATGTGTAATTTCAAATACAGAAACTGAACCACTGCATGCATGCATTGGTTGCATTAATTTTCAGCGAGCACTGAGTTGCTTGGAAGAAGAAGAAGAAGAAGAAGAAAATGGTGGAGGGGGGAGCCCACTCTTCTAGTAAAACAGAGTTCACAGAGTGCTGGAGGACAACATGGAAGACGCCTTACATTATGCGTCTCGCGCTCTCTGCCGGCATTGGAGGCCTCCTTTTCGGTTACGATACAGGTAATTAAAATCTCAATTATATTTATACCAACAATGAATTCATTCAAAGGAAAAATGTCTATGCACTAATTGTACGTGTTGTTATTGGTGTGGCGCTGTAGGTGTAATCTCCGGGGCATTACTATACATTCGTGAGGACTTTCGCGAAGTTGACAGGAAAACATGGCTGCAGGAGACCATAGTGAGTATGGCAGTTGCAGGCGCCATCATTGGGGCTGCATTTGGTGGATGGATGAACGATGCCCTTGGCAGGAAAAAATCAATCCTGATCGCGGACGTGGTGTTCTTCGTGGGTGCAATAGTTATGGCTGTGGCTCCAGCTCCGTGGGTGATCATCATTGGAAGAATTATAGTTGGTGTGGGAGTTGGAATGGCTTCCATGACCGCACCCCTTTACATCTCGGAAGCTTCTCCTCATAGAATCAGAGGAGCTCTTGTTAGCACAAACGGTATGTTGATTACAGGAGGACAATTCCTGTCATACCTCATCAATCTGGCCTTCACGAAAGCTCCTGGAACGTGGCGTTGGATGCTTGGAGTCGCAGGACTTCCAGCTGTGGTTCAGTTCATATTGATGTTGTCGCTTCCTGAGTCTCCCAGATGGCTATACAGAGAGGTGAGCTGATCATAGTAGCTAGTCATATGTTGTCGTAACATAAATGCATGCTTATGCTTATGTTGTCAAACTGTGAATTTGGACAAACACGATCAATAAATTATCTGAATTCACAGTCTAGCAATGACATAAGCATATTATGTTCAATATGCCAAATATATAACTTGTTCTTGGTGTTGTTTGTGTTAATGAAACAGAACAAGGTGGATGAAGCTAGGGCCATTTTAGCGAAAATCTATCCTGCTGAAGAGGTGGATGATGAACTGAAAGCCTTGCATGAATCCGTGGAATTTGAAAAGGCTGAGGAAGGAACAGCTGGGAATGGCGTGTTCGGAAAACTAAAGGGTGCATTGAGCAACACCGTGGTCCGAAGAGGACTTTATGCAGGAATCACTGTGCAAGTAGCTCAGCAATTTGTAGGAATTAATACTGTCATGTATTACAGCCCAACCATCGTTCAATTTGCCGGGTTCGCGTCCAACCAGACGGCTATGGCGCTGTCTTTGATCACCTCCGGTCTCAACGTGGTTGGCACCCTCATCAGCATGTGCTTTGTAGATAGATATGGAAGGAGAAGGCTGATGATTATCTCTATGTTCGGGATCATCACTTGCCTGGTGGTGTTGGCTGGGGTGTTTTACTATGCGGCAGCAAATTCTCCCAAGATTAGTAATTTGGAATCTGCTAGGTTTGGCAACAACTCTACATGTCCGGCTTATGGCTCTGCTTCTAACCCTGCATCATGGAACTGCATGACATGTTTGAAACAAGACTGCGCCTTCTGTTCTAGCAAAGTGAAGGATGTAAGCGCACAACTAACTAGTGAGCCTTTACTCAACATAAATTAAAGATTTGACCTCAACTAATCCATTTGTTTTTCCCTTAATTGTTGTCAGCTCGCCCCGGGAGCTTGCTTGGCTGTCAATGATAATATCAGGGATTCGTGTCGCGAGGACCGTCGTACGTGGTACAGCAAAGGTTGTCCCAGCAAAATTGGAATCTTTGCAGTGATCTTACTGGGACTGTACATTATTATGTATGCGCCTGGAATGGGAACCGTACCCTGGATTGTGAACTCAGAGATATACCCTCTGAGATACAGAGGAATAGGTGGAGGGATTGCTGCAGTTTCAAACTGGACAGCCAATCTCATAGTCAGTGAGACATACTTGACCCTCACCAAGGCTCTGGGTTCTGCCGGAACATTTCTACTATTTGCTGGATTTTCTTTAATTGGACTTGTATTCATTTACTTCCTGGTTCCTGAAACCAAAGGAATGCAATTTGAAGAAGTTGAGAAGTTGCTTCAGAAAGGATTCAAACCTAAACTATTTGCTCCCAAGGACACCAAAGGCAAAGCCAAAGTTGACGAGTAATCTAATTTGTTAGGGACCATATCATTAGTTGTGTGAGAATTGATGTGTACATGTCATGTCATTTAATAATAATACGGTCGATTATACTATGCTATAGTTTTTCTTTTTTAACTCCCTTTTATTTTTATCCTGAGAATGTGCTAGTGATGAATGTTGCAGACACGTGAGAAATAGAATAAGTAGTGAAAGATAATCTCTTGTTTGTTCGATCGTATTTGTTTTCATACCAATGATAGTCTTAAGATAATCTCTTGCCTGAGACCAATGATAGTCTTAAGATAATCTCTTGCCTGAAAGGAGAGGATTGGAACTTGAGTGCAAAAAGATGGGTTCACTGTCTTGGCCAACTCGACTCGACTAAATGGTTCCGTTGTAGAGACAAAGAAATAGAGACCATGACATGCTGTTACTGAAATGTGTACCATCACATCACATTTCGCTCAAAGGCAAAGCATGCAAAACACAACAAACACTTTAGGATTGGAGATTGGACCCGTGTACGCTTTGACGCAAAAGGCGCACCGACACCTTGTAATTCACTGACATTTAAAATACGAGATTGCAACCATCCAAGCAAACAGCGGGACAAAACAATACCTGCTGCTCCGCCAGCTAATGCATGATTAGCATGGACAAGGATTTATAAACAAGTATTCAAACTCTTTCGCTTGGTGGGGTTTGGATTGGATCGGTTGGTGGCCTTTCCATTGGGTTTGCCAGATGAATGAATCAATTGCATTTGCATGTAGGACAGGTGGTGATGGTATCTCGCGAGCAGGTGACCTACTTTACATCAAAGACAAGCAGCATGTCAAGGGCCCTCTGTCATTATAGATTTGCAGATCTCCACTAAAATAATGCCCCCTTTTTGCTCTTTACTTTCATAAAATTAAATTGTTTTAAAGCCTGCTGTTTGGCTGCCGAGAAAATTGCCCAACAAGAGGAGAATAAAGGATAAAATCTTCAGGAGATGACCTTCCTGTACTGGCATCTAGACAAAGTATAAAGTTGCATTCAGTACTAAGCAAGGTATAACGATCGTGTAGCTGGACAATGGTTAAAGGTCCAGATCCCCACCACAAATTGAGTTCAAGATTCCACCACCAACGGACACTAAAACACACATTGTGCTTTGAAGGACGAATCCGATGGATCAATTTCATCATACAGAACTTAAAACACAAGATTGAAAAAAAGAGAGGAGATTTTTCCAACCAGTTTTAGACAATCTATCATTACAAGGAAAACCAGACAATGAAGAAAAATTTGGGGCTTCCCAGACAAAACACGAGGAAAATAACCCAAATCTTTATCAACCCAAAACCACAAGGCAAACAAGTATTCCACCCCTACAAAAAACCAAGTCAATAATAGAAAAGAGGGATAAGAAACAAACAAGATACCCAACCAAAAACCTAGTTAAAAATCAAACATCTAAAAGTCAGTTTCTTGCTCGCTAGCTTCTTCTAATCCTTCCTAGTACAATCATATTCTTCCTAGCTTCTCAACCACACTGTACAAAACCATGAAACAACACTTCCTATATACAAGTGCAACCAAACACTGAACCACATAAGACGTACTAGTATAATTTCCTCTCTAATTAGTACCAGTACCAGTACCTATCTTCTCTTCTCTTCTCTTCCCTTCTCTTCTCTTCTCTAAAGGGCTGAAGAGGACGCTTCTTGCCTCGGTTCTCTCAGATACCCAAGAAGCGTTTCAGCCTGCAAAAACAACCAAACCCCATTATAAATCAACCCAGCTCCGTGAACACATAAACACGCAGCATCCAAATGCAGACTTAGCATTACAAAATGCATGAAAATTCGCACACTAATACTAATTGGCTTCAATCCCCAATTCAAATGAACCATCTGTAATTCAAAGGGTAGGACCACCATTTTGTCTATACAAATTATAAACGCATTAACACAAACCAAACCATGAAAATTCATAATCCCCAAATTTCATGAAATGATCAAAATACCTTGTGCTTAGCTCTAAGAGTCCCAGTCTGCGAAAGCGCAACCAAAGGTGGAATCCCTCCTTCCCTCACCAGCAACCCTCTGTTTCTCACACTCTCAGTACACAGCTGCAACAGCGTCAACACCGCAAACTCCTTCCCTTTGACCGACCCATCTTCAATGGCCTCCACAAGTGCCGCAAGCCCACCTTCCTCCACAATGGCCTCCTTCCCCTCCTCAACCCCAGCCAAGCTACTCAGCACCACCATCGCCTTCTCCGCCAAGCCCGTCCCCTGCTCCGCCACTAGAGCCACCAGCGGCTTCACAGCTCCGGCGCTCACTGCCCTCTCTTTGTTGGGCTTTATCGAGCAGAGCTTATACAGGGTCGTCAAGGCGTCTTTTTTGCCCCTCGTGGATCCACTTATTAACAGCGAAACCAACGGCGGGATGGCCCCACAGGCTCCGATTGAGCTCTTGTTCTCTTCAATTAGGGCCAGGCTCAAGAGCGCACACGCAGCGTTTTGCTTCGAGGTCTCCGTCCCGGTTTTGAGCACGTACACTAAAGACTTTATAGCTCCGGCATTGGTGATTATCGCCTTGTTCGATTCGTGCAGAGAGAGGTTGAGCAGGGCCGTGACTGCGTGCTCCTGAGTCCAGGGGTCGCTGCACCGGAGCAGAGGAATTAAAGCAGGGACCGCACCGGACTCGCCTATCAAAGCGCGATTGTCCGCCCGGTTCTTCGCTAAAAGCCTGAGCTTGGCCGCAGCAGATTGCTTGATGGCAATCGACGGCGATTGGAGGCCGTCGACGCAGATCTTGACCGTCGGTAGAAGATCCTCAGGCGAAATGCTCTCGATGATCTCGGTGGAGAAGTTCTCCCTCTGCAAAAACCCCTGGCAGGGCTCCTCCGGCACCTCCGGCTCGGCTTCGGAGGTAGGCTCGTTTTCCGGGGACGGCAAAGTAGCGAGTCTCTGTAATTCTCCGGAGATGTCGCTGCTGCAGGCGGAGAAATCGCTGAAGGCTTGGGAGAGCTGGAGAAACTCTTCGTCGGAGGAGGCGGACTTAGCAGCGGAGCTGTGGGTGCGCAAGGCGAGCTCGCCGAGACGCATGTCGATGACAGAATCGGTCAAGTTCTCGGAGACGAAGGACGATCTTTCGGTGGTGAAGGAGTTTCGGGATTGATCGTCATGGTAGATGTTGGAGCGAATGGTGCGCATGGAACGGCCTGTTTGCCTGTGGATTTTGGTGGAGGAAGGAGAGTAGAAGTTTCGGGTGTGAGGAGGGAAGTGGTTGGAGCTGGAATGAGAATCTTGTAGAGAAACCATTCTGGCTGTGGACGGGAAATCAACCAAAGCTGAGACCTTTACACAATATATAGTTTGATTTTATCTGGTACTGGTAGATTCTTTTTGAATTTTTGAACTAGTAGTGTTGAGTAGAGAAGAAGCTCGTGGTGCAGAGGAAGTAGGAATTGGGAATTTGAGAGGGAGAGGATTCGAGATGAGGCAGTGGGATTTATTTATTTTAGGGTATCTGGCATATGTCATGTGTATATGACTGTATGTCTCTGTCTCTGTCTCTGTCTCTGTCTGTAAGTAAAACAGTAAAAGGGTGGTGTCTTCGGTTTAGGTTTAAAAGATGGATGGAGCCGTAGATGTAGATATAAATTGGGTTAGTTGGTTACGACAGTGAATTTGCTTCCAAATTCCGTTTTATAAATTTAGTTTAATTAGAGTATGTTTGGATAGAAAACAAAAAGAAAGAGCTAATTTAAAGAAAGAAATTTAATTTAGACTGTTGCCTATTTTTTTATATAAAAAATGTCTCTGCAGAAAAAAAGTAAAAAAGAACGGAGTCACAAGGCAATGCCAGGCTTTCCTATGTAAAATGGTCACACACCACACATTAGGTTGGGGAAGGCGACGTCGTTCCGGGATACAAACTCATGGTCTAAAAACAGTAGGACTAGGGGGCTGATGCGACTGTTGGCAGTGGGCAGTGGGCAGTGGGCAGTGGGCACAAATCCAATTGGCTCTTTTTGATGGGATGGGTGTTTAGGTGGGACCTACCCCGTCGGCCAAAACCTGATAGGCAGCGACGCCGTCGTTTTGTGCACTTTCTCAACCTCTCATCAACCCTTTAGCTCGCTTTTGGTCAAAATTGAATTTGGTACATACATATATGTCCTTGGTGAAAAAACAAAATATAAAATATAAAATATTTTTTAAAAAAGGAGGGGGCAGGTGACGTGTGGGAAGATTCTCCTGCGTTGGGGCATACGACAGGAGTCAGTTAGAATCGGGAGGGACACGTGTTGCCAGCAAGCTCAGTCTGTAAATGCTTCTGCAGCCGTGTGATTATCTTCTCTTGTTCTCCATCTCTTGATGAAGACGGTGCTGGGTTGGGTTGGGCGGTCTTGAGAAGTGGGCCAAAGTCAACTACACTCTGTTTACTTTACTTTACTTTGAAGCGAGTGGCGTTAGCTTTGTGTCTACAATTGCCACGTCAGCCACACGTGCCAGAGCAAACACAGAGACCTAGTACCACTAATTATGACTCCATCACTGGATATTATTAACCACGTTTATTAGCGTTTGGTTTATCCGAGAAAAAAAGAGCAAAAAGTGCATTTGTTAATTAATTATAATTAGTCCACGCGACAAGAGTTAATGAGTTTGTGGTGCTTCAATCTGACTCGTAATATATTCAAATTTTCAAACACCGCTCGCTTACCCATCACTGCATGCATATATCTTAACTAATACAAAGAATTTGCTCACCTAATTATCTAACTAAACATTCATTATACATAGCGTGTCTTGCATTTTTCAGCACCTAATCACTTTAATTTATTTTTTTTGTCTTCTCATCTACCGTCCGTCTCATATTCATATATTTCGGCAACCACACTAATAATTTAAAAGCTCGTCTTGTTATTCAACACAACGTACGTACGTCGTCATACTATGTATGTATCATGAATACCTTTTCCTTTATTAATATTTTATTATTATTATTATTAGTTCAATGTTCTTAGTGCAACATGATGAGTTGTTTAGCACCCTAACTGCACCTTCCAAATTTGGGAAAAGATGGTGTTTGTCTTTGTTGAAAATAAATTTCACACATTATTTATAGCAAAATTATTGACGTGGATCAACAATATCTTGCCACGTGACCATATCTCCTTCACTGTATTTGTTTATTCATTTTGGTCGAGGTCAATCGTGGCATATCTTGGCCTTTACATTAATATTTATTTGTCGATTTTTCACATAAAGAATATTAATATTTTGCTTATCCGAGGTTATCAAGTAAAAGTTTTCATTATTTTTTAATTAGTTCAACTCACTCTCCCTCTATTATAACGCGTATTTGACTGAAATCTTTGGAATGATGACGAGCTTGCAGTAAAATCTTATTTTATTTTATAATCGTGATTAAATGAGAAATTACACAATAATATAATTATAATTACTTAATGTGTTTAAGATATATAAGAGGCTAATGATGGCTGCGCAGACTTCCAACAATTTGTGCGCTTTTCGCAAATGAGATTTAGTGTTTGTGGTCACCGCCATACTTTGCATCAGCAATTTGGCAATTTGGCAATTTGGCACTCGCCACCACCACCAGCTCATGAGTTGCAACCAGCAGGCTGATTAAGGAAGTAAGTAAACACTTTTTTAGTGTGCAAAGCATGGTTTTTGCACAAAACATTATTACCACAGAACATGGGGGGCCATGCAATCATGATGTCATATACATATTTGAAACTTGTTGGTGCAATTTGTGTGGTCAGAAAAGCCAGAGGTATAAGCTCCTCATGATCACAAGAACTGGTCCTAATTAATATTACTCCTAAAAGCGTTTAGGCTAATAAACTTTTTATTATTATTTTTATGGTAAATATGAAAAGGGGAACTTTTGGAGGGATCATCTGGCAGATTGACAAGAGTCGGTCTACTCTGCATGCGAAAGAAAGGATTTGTGTTTGTCTGTGTTGCGAGTGTGAATCTGTGACTTGTGGGCGTCCCGATCACTATTTTACACCATATCCATTCTAATTTCTATCTATGAAACTATTCATATCAAGTCGGTGTGAGCTACCTATTACCTATTACCTATTACATATCTATATTATCTATCCCAGGCTCAGCACACCAAATTTGAAAGCAAAAAAATTTAGTTTTTTTCTGTTCTTTTCCTCTTTGGCCTTTTGGTCTTTTGGTCTTTTGGCTGACATATAACATGAAGATATTGATTGAAAATAAATAAATATATCTATAGTAAATGATATCCACCCAAACCCAACCCAACTGTGTTTGATTATGTTATAAGATAGACATTTGAAAATAAAAGAATTGAAAGCTTAACTGTGTTTGATGTTACAGATTGATGAAAAGTCTGAAGAAGGTTGAATTCTGCGTTTGCTGCAATTCACTTTTTTGACAGCACGTGGCATCTTCAAAAGTAAATATTTTGTAACTTTTTGTTATCTTTTATTGACATGCATGGCCCATGAGTCTTCTTGCTTTCTAGCTTCAAATCTTCTTTGAGATCTTTTCACTTCAGATCACCTGAATCTATGTCTATCTACAAGACTGTAATTGTAGAGGGAGAGACTAGAGTGTACGTTTTTCAACCCTAATTTATCATTCGAATCGACTACCCAAGGTCAAGAACACTGATGGAATTAATGTGCCCGGCCCAACCATGCTCAGCCAGCTGCAGACAGCTACTGAAAATTACTTCAACAACAGGAAGGTACTGTGTGGTAGACCTCAAAATTGTGTTATGGAGACCTCAAAATTAGGATAGTCGACAGTTCAAAATAAAGTTTCTGGATATATATGCTTGTGTTGTTGTTGCCATTCATTCAACAGCTAGCCAAGCGGGCGCTTTCAGGCTTTAGTTTGATCAGTTAAATGCTATTTGAGAACAGCAAGTGCCCATTCGATTTCATCATGGGAAAGTTAGGAGGATTTAGTGATTGAATTCGTGTTGCGTGCATGATGCATGGATGCTATTTCATCAAAATGGCAAACCTGAAACTTGAAGCAAACTCTGGGAATGGGATACTTATTATAAAGTAGGTACGTTTGATGTGTTCCATGCATAGTGGTCTAGGCCCTAGCTAGCTAATATGGGTGCAGTGCAGTGAGTGACTAAGACTATGACCAAATGAAGCCTTACTATAATTTTTCAAAGATGTGGATATCAGGGTTTTACGTGGGATAATGAAGATATAGAGGACCACAAGCTATAGCCCATCGGTGGCATTGCAGATATATCAAAGGGTGGCCCAGCTACATACCTTAAAAGATAGCTTCAAGCCTTCAAATATCAATATCAAGATCAAGAGTAATGGGTGGTGAACAACAGCGCAAACTTCTCAGAATCTAAGACCCCCTCCCCTGCTTGCTTGGCTTCGCTTGTCACCCAACTTTTTGGCATAGCATGCGCATGCGTATGCGCAACCCATACATTACACTATATATAATATATATACACAAACGATGCTAAAGTTGCAAAAGTCTATAGAAAGTCCACATCTATGGTCTATATATGATACTCTCATTATAGAACGACTCTGCTAAAGTTATCTATTGTTATAATAGAACAAGTGGCCTAAATCGAATCCTATCTTCGCCTCGTCACACTTTTGATTGATAGAATTAGATACTCACAAAAGTTTAAAAAATGAACATCCTCTATCTTCTTCTACTTAGATTTTATTTTATTTCTTCTTCTTTTTTGGATTCTTTTTCCAAAACTGAGATTATAGGAGTTCAAACCTAAGATCATCAAGTCAAGATTCTTTTTCCACTAAGCTAGACCCTATTGGCCTTTAATAGATATGTTTGACAAATAAAAAAGATGTATTTCCAACAACTTTTGGCAGAAGCCGTAATGATTTTCACTGCTGGCAATGGTCCACTCTAGGCTCACCTTGTCTAATCATGATCATGCACCTTTGGGTTCATATTTAGATCTGAGTTGTGTTAGCTTGAGCTGGGGCCTATATGAGGACTGGGTCTGGGTCGACATGCATACTTCATGATTGTGTCGCATGGAATGCAATTGGCCGGCCCATCGTGACCCAAATGATAAAGCCCAAGCTGGAATGAGGTTTGGGCAACCCAGAATGAACCTTGTCGTAACTTATAAGTCACACGGCAGACCTTGACCAAGTAAAGACTATATTTAAGATTACAAGTAATGGTAATAAAAAGTCTTTAACTTGACGTGATGGCATTCTTGGTTTCCAAATAAAAAGGCAGACCAATGGCATTGGCAATGACATTGACATCCTTTGGGACCGTGAGTGATAAACAATATGAACAATAAGATTAAGAGGTTGTTGAATTGAAGACTTATGTAATAAGTTAAGAAGAGTAATCCTTCTACAGAATTCCATGATGCACATTAAATTTGTAGGTCAATGTAATAGACTTCTTACTTATTGTCTTTTTCAGTGATTCGAAAGGAGTTGTTAGGTTCAGCTTAGCTACAAGATAGGGTCTTCCATTAGCTAGTCATAATCTCAACAACTCCGCGAAAGAAAGATTGAGAGACATGCATGCATCATTCATCATTCATCATTGTCATTGATATATACATATACATATATGATATATACCATACTTACAAGTTACCACCCCTCTCCCTTCCCTTGTGTTTCCTTTTCCAACTCTTATTTATTAAAGGCTCATAATTCCAAGAATGGGTAAGCTTCCATTAAAAGAGGAATAACATCTATATACATATTAACACTCACATTTTACATTGCTATTGGCAGGAATGTAGGAGTTCCTACTTACCTGATAAGGAGGAAAGTATTTTCCAATACTAGATATGGTATAAGTTATAAGGAGGGGAAAAGAAAAGATGGAAGATGAACATGATGAAGAACTTGATTGGTGTATGTATGTTGACACGTTCAACTAAGGGTTAAAGAAGTTAAACAAACATTTCAATTGTTTTGTATGTATGAATATAAAATTTATGAGACAAGATTGAAAGGCAGGATAATTAACGTCATGCTTTGTGTTGTGGTATGTTTTTGGTTTGAATGTCGACTCAAATTGAGATTTGGCTAGTACATACGTACATAAGTGGTATAAAATATCATATACAACGGCATGAATCGATCAATCAATAGCTTCTTATACATGAATCATGACCTTGTTGTTGCATAGAGTTACTTGGAAGAGAGATACTACAAAACTACATATAGATATATAAATAAATAAGGAATTGGTCGTCCTCTATATAAATATTAAATCACAATCTTGAGTTTACATATTGAATCCTTAATGTTTTGACTTCAGTAAAGAACGCTTCATATTGAATTTATTATATCCGTACATTTTAGACCTACAGCATTTGTGTTGACAGTTGATCTTTTCTTTTTTGTTGGAAAGAATTCCAGTTCTCAATTTTTTATTTTTATTTTGGGTTTATAAATTCAATATATCCGTACAGTACAATCCTTAATGATTGCATATGAAAGATAGAAGACCAGGCCTTTTAGCTTTGGCAGCGAACATGTATAAATATTGCTTGCTTGCTTATAAGGAAAGGAAAGGAAAGGAAGGAGATGGGTGTTTAAGTTGAGTTGAAAGAACCCACACCATTTGATGTCTAATGGCCTTTTTGTTTCAATTCAATTAACTCCTCCTTCTACTCTACTTCTGGAATCTAGACGATAACAATTCTATTGTGACTGCGTTGACTAGACTTGTTCTTCTCACATATAAACAAAGACGTCAGCCTTATGTATATATATACGTCATCTAAATTAATGCACATATTAGATACATGAATATATAACAAAAATAATAATAGTAAAAATAATTGACATCAACATATGCAACTGATATTTATTTAATTATTAGTTAAGTAAATGGGCTAATTCAGCTCAGCTGTACATGACATGCATTCACATTTATACATGGAGACAAGACAAGATGCCGCTCTGCAAACCAAACAAAACTCTTTTAGATTCTTTCTCTCTCACACACACACACACACCATTTTTTGTATCCAGTGTTGACCAAATAAAAGAAAGAGTACATCAATTAATTTAACAATTTCACTTGAAACATGTGGGAGTTTTAAAACAAAGCAAATATATAAAATTATTATGATTGTACATAATTTAATTAACTGAGTAATTATTGATATTTTATCTTCAGAGTATGATCACGTGGTATAACTCATACACATGTTATAATATAAATGAATATTTATTGATATTTTACCGTCGAAGTAAGAAATTATGTCTACCTCTCGTATTATAACACATTAACGAATTATATCACGCGGTTATATTTATAAAAACATATAATAATTTCTCCCATTTCCATGTGTTTTTCCCAGAAAAAAAAACAAAAATGTCCCTTGCGGGAATATTGCCTTGTTTTGGGGGGGGACCACGTGGACCGAGATACAGCGGGAATGCATGAAGACAAACGAAGGCGATGGAAGAGGAACCGTGGAAACGGCTCCCGGGGCTGCCCAGCTGGTAAATTAAAAGGAATGAGTGTCTTCCACGGGGCCTGTGGGTCCCCCACGTGACATTGTGTCAAAGCCGATACGAGGCCGTTTGGGTTTGGTTTGACCAGCCAGGCTTCAAGTCAATGTTATCTCTCTCACCTGCCCTGTTCAACCATAAACCTAATCTCAACCTATCCCAGCATCTCCTGTTCCAGTACGCGTCTAAGGGAAAGTACAAAACGTAGCGTTTTAGCGGAGGCAGTACAAATGTAGAATGTGTGAGTGAGTCAATTGACTTGGTTTTTACACCCATTCGATACATACGTACTGCAGCTTGAGTGGTACTTTTTGACCGCCTTTAGTGCCTTGGACTTTTGTCAGTCTTAAGTCTTTTATCTTTTAGCGCGCCCAGCTAGGGGCCTTGTCCTCTGGCTTTGGTTTGTAGAAATTACAAGGGCAGATGTTGTTGCCTTCAACTATCGTATGCATTAACGTATAGATATTGTGTTTTTACAACTAGCCGCCAACTCCTAAAAGAAACCTTATTTATCAACTTTTAATTAATCATAATTTTACATGAATTTGAAATTGTTTTAGTATTGTAATTTGGAGATTTGAGTGCGTATAAATAAATCTCTTAGCATAGAGACTTTCTTACGAGTGTTTCGTCTTAACATCTATTAGGGTTTTTCTTTGCAAATAAAAGGAAAGGGAAAGAAAAGAAACTATAGACTCTTCCAATTGTGTGAGACGTGTGGCCCGGTGAAGAAGACTCTGGACACAGCCGACCAACTATTTCTATCTCTGTGTGATTCCTTAATCGAAATCACCATGAAATTCCACATGTCCCTGTTGTTGAAACGTTGAATGGATTGAAGACCAAGTTGGCAAAGGCAGGTGTGAAAAGGGAAAGGTGGTTCTCCAAACGGCATAGAGTATATTTTTCCAAGGAAAGAAAACAAACAAAAAACAGAGAAAGTTCAAACCACTTTTGTGATAGAAAATATGGCAGCATTGGAAACTTCCCCAAGACCAGCCAACAACCTACCACCACCAACTCTTATAATAACACCCTCTTCAAACCCGCAACTTCCAATCACAACGCTTTCCAACAATTTCCTCCTTCCTAAAACACGCTTGTTTTAGAAAACTCACAAACCAGAACAGCTCACTTCTTCTCTCTTTAAAATACACCAAACCTGTTCATCAAAACAATAACAAAACCATTTCAGATTTTCAATTTCATTGCAACACCACCATGGCCGGCATGTTGAGACTTGCCATGGCCTTCTCTGTTTTGCTCTCTCTGTCTCTGCCATCATCCCATGCCCAAACCGGTGCTTGTGGAAACTACAAATTTACAAGCAACAAGATCTTCACCTCCTGCAGCGACCTTCCCTACCTCAACTCTTTCCTCCATTGGACCTTTGAACAATCAACCGGGAAACTTCAAATGGCGTACAGACACACAGGGATCACAACCTCAAACTGGGTCGCGTGGGCCATCAACCCAAACCTAAACAGTGAATCGTCAGCCATGCTTGGTGCTCAATCTCTGGTTGCTTTTCAGCAATCCAATGGAACCACCAGGGTCTACAAGTCGCCTATCAGCAGCTACCAGACCAATTTGGCGGAGGGAAATCTGGACTACGTGGTTTCTGATTTGTCAGCCGAGTATTTGAACAATGATGAGATGATCATCTTTGCTACGTGGACTCTTCCCACCAATTCAACCACCATACTTCAGGTTTGGCAGCAGGGTCCGGTTTCCAGTGACTCGCCCTCAGTTCATCCCACCGTTGCACCCAACACTAATGCCAAGCAGACTTTGAATTTGCTTTCTGGGCAGACAGCATCGAGCGGTGGAGGCGGCTCTAGAATTAGAAAGAAAAACGTAAGTGATTCTGTCTCTTTAATGTTCATCCTTAAGCTACATGTCCTAGAGTTTTTTCCTGTTACTTCATAACTAGTGTTTTTAATTTGGTTTTCTTTGGTGGGTTAGCTCTGTTTTTACTCTCTTCTTTGGTCCCTAAGGAGTTGTTTTGCTTGTTAAAATAAAAGAAATCTGAGTTGTTAAAGCCTCTGATATTTATAAGGGAGTATGTTATTGTATTTTAAAAAATCTTTATAAATTAATCTTTAAAAGTTGTAGAATTGAGGATCTGTTTTCTTGTTTTAAGGTTTCTTTGAGTTCTCCCTTGTTTTAAGGTTTCTTTTAGTCAATCCCCTAACTTGTTTTTGTGATTTTGAAACGAATTGCAGATCCATGGAATTCTAAATGCAGTGAGTTGGGGTGTGTTGATGCCTTTTGGAGCAATGGTAGCAAGGTACTTGAAGGTCTTCAAATCCGCAGACCCTGCATGGTTTTACCTTCACGCCACTTGCCAAACCTCAGCCTACGTTGTTGGTGTTGCTGGCTGGGCCACTGGTCTTAAACTTGGTAGCGATTCTACAGGCATCCAATACGACACACACAGAAACATTGGGATCACCCTCTTCTGCCTTGGAACACTTCAGGTATTTCGACATTCTTCTCACCCTATTTCGACGCATGGATAATATTTCGATAACAATTTTGTGTTGTCTTGGTTATTTGTCCTGGCATCTAAATGGAAGCTCTGAATTTGGATGTAGGTCTTTGCTTTGCTTCTGAGACCCAACAAGGACCACAAATTCAGATTCCACTGGAACATCTACCACCACGCAACTGGGTACGCTGTTATCATCCTCAGCATCGTCAACATATTCGAAGGATTTGACATCTTGCAACCCGAGAAGAAGTGGAAGAATGCATACATCGGCTTGATCATTGCCTTGGGTGTCCAAGCTGCATTGTTGGAAGCTTATACATGGTATGTTGTACTGAAGAGGAAGAGGTCAGAAAAGGCACCGCGCACGGCCAATGGTGTCAACGGCTACAGTGCTTAGAGGTCAGAGGAAGGAGATGTAGAGCGTGCGGAATAGTTTGTCAGCGGGAGGAAATGGTTCTTTTGAGTTTCTTCCTCCTCCTTCTTCTTCCTTCTGCATACATGTTCTTGCACCCTTTTGTATATTTTATGGCTTGAGTGTGTACACTGTTATGTACTGAGGGATTTTCAGGATTAGAGATAATTCTTTCGTAAATTAGACATGCTACCTGAGAGATTTGATGTATTGTACTGAGGGATTTTTTCCTGCTATATTTATTTTTCCATCTCATTTCATTGCTGAAATTTGTTTTATTTCAACTTTCTGATGTCTTCTGATGCATTCTCAATTAGTTTGCATTTCGTGACACTAATAACCACGCTTTATTAAAGAGACAATAAATAAAAAGCTTTTGCACACGAGTAACCTCAAAACACTGCTCTTTTGGGTGCGTATCAACGCACAAGGGCTCGCATATTTCAACTGCTTAACAAGTTTTGGGCGAGTTCAATTTTCCTGTTACCATTTCTCCTGTGCCCGCCTCTTACTCATCTAACTTTTTGCAACCTGTCCTTGTACTTAACTCTAAGTTAACAGTGTTAAGTTTAATTACATTAAAAACTTCAGCGACACAATCGCATAAACTGAGAGTTTCTGAAAGAAGTTGAAGGCCTTCAGATTGCACGACACGAGTTTGATTTCTAACACCCAATAACGTTGTCTGCTAGAATACTCCATTGATCCATGCTCCTTTCTCCCTTCCTAAAAAACCCAACAGCGAACCCAATCCGTCAGCAACCCCACCCTGACCGCACAGCCCCCTCTCCTATTCGCCGTCGGAAACTCTCTTTCTCCCCCTTGATTTTGGATGAAGATCTATATTCTTCCCCTGCTCTTCTTTTTTGAAAGAGAACGAGATCGAGAGGGAAGCAGAGAAATCGAGGGAGAGAGAGAGAGAGAAGGGGGACAGAAGTAGAGAAAAGGAGGCAAGCGCTTTGCCGGCGGTGAGAAGGAGAGGGGGTTGCTGCCGGCTGGATGGGGTGGGTGGGAGTTTTGGTGGCCGGCTGGTTTGGGGTTGCTGAGGATTGGGGGTGGTGGGAGGGAGTTCGCCCTTGGGTCTTTTTTATTTCCTTCAATTACTAGTTTTCTTTTTCTAATTTAATTACTTTGGATGAAATAATTGCAAATTACATAAAATTTTAAAATGTCGGAATTTAGATTTCCGTCATTTCAATTTCTGGCAATTGAAGATGTCAGTATTTGGATTTATATATGTCGAATTTTGTAAATGATAGAATTGAAAATTTCAATGTTTGGATAGCTCATATAAATTATAAATGAAAGAAATGAAATATTTTGAAAGAACAAAAAAACTAATAATTGACATAGAAGGTATTTCTCGAAGTATGAAATAACATATTGTTTGATGAACTAAATAACTCAACTTAAACAAAGAAAGCATATTAGCAAATCAAATCACTCCCCACGTGCAATGAACATCAGTAACATACATTTTTTTTTTTTCCTCAATTGGGAGTGCCTATGGAATTAGAACTAGAAGCAATCAGCAATCAAGACCCTAATACTTCTTTTTCATTTGGCAAAAGACCAATGGCCAGAGAAACTGAAAGAGCTTTGATTAAAAAGTTGCAAACAAAAGTAGAGGAATAAATGATGAAATCAATGAATCACTATCATAAGACTTAATTCAAGTCCCAAAGAATGAAGGAGCACCTTGGCCAAGCTGCAACTTACGGGCAAGTTGGTGTAGCTTACAATCAACATCTAATGGCTCACACAAAGCGATAAAGCTAACAAACAACTATAGAGCAAGGCGATAACACAAAGTGATAAAGCTAGCAAACAACTACATAGCTGTACCATAAACATTAATCACACACCAATATCCATGGGCATAGAGTATTTTGTTAGAACTTCCCAAAAATCCAGCCATAGTGCCGCAAAGATCACAAAACCCAACACATTCATAAATTTAGTCAGAAACACCCAATTTTGATAGCCATTCAGAAACCATGGTAACCCTAAAATAAAAAAAATATAAATTGAAGGAGAGAAAGGCATGAATACTAACCTTCAAACTTGATCCAAAGAGCCACGTAACCCAAAGAACTCCTTCTCCTTACTTCTCTGGCTATACTCGGTTTCATAGGTTTTTGCTGCTGTTCTTTTTTTTTAATGAAACGTTTGGTGGGTTTTTTTTTATGTAAGTTTTGGCACACTGGAAAATATGAATTCCCAGATTGTGAAATGACGCCTATTTTGGTAGAAATTAAACTCAGGAATTTGATGCCTCAATTTCCATGATTTTTTCCACGCATCATTTAGTAAGTTCGGCGTTTAAGTTGCCAAACAAGGGAATTGTCAATTTCTCTTCTTCAATTCCCGACTTTAACCTAAATTCCGAGTTATTTTCCCTTATCCAAACGGAGGGTAAGAGTTAAGTGGAAGGAGAAGGACTGATGTCAAAAAGTTAGATAACAGGTGGGCGTCCCAAAGAGAACGTCTCAAGCAGTTTCAAATAGAATATTTCAAGCACATTAAAATTTTCAGATTGACTATTTTGCAAGTCATTCGTGAAGAATCTCTCAGCTATGCATCATTACGAAAACACACATAGTAGTTTAGAGCAAGATTACCGAAGATATGTCATCTAAATTGGTTCGACAACTAATTTGGCATTGCCTATGCACTAAATACAATTGAATCAAATGCGGATCCTGCTTCATGGAAAAATGTTCAGCTTGAAAGATTTGATATAGTGATAGAGGCCGTCTCATTCCGATTCCAGCAAAGCCCCAACAAATGCATCCTTAAGCAAAGGGTTTGATGCTGCTACTCTTTGAGCTGTGATGTCAAACTCCTTACCAGATCTGATGTGAAAAGTTACAACCAATTTTTGACATAAGTAAAATCTTATAGATGATAAAATGTCACATGCATGTTCTAAGTTCGTCAACAAAAGGATAGATGTTATTGACCTGCAACTGCCGGCAGCAGTGCACACTACAACGAAAACTACTTATATTTCCAATTCAAATTAATTTGTAAAAGATCGAAAGCTGAGGATGAAGTCACTTACGGATCATACACACATCCTCCAGCTTCTGTAACAATCACAGCACCACCTGCCACATCCCTGAGGCAAAGGAAAAACAAATGTCAATCATTTGCCGGCCACTACAACAATTAACTGGCATAATAGAAAACCATACCAAGGACCCCCAAAGCCGAGTTCACAAAATAGATCAAGCCTCCCACATGCAATTCCACAGAGGTTCAGTGCACAGGAGCCACTCATGCGAAGAGATCTCACCTGCTCAAAACAGAAACTGTTTAATATTGGGATGCCAACACAACTGAAGATCACCATCGGAAAGTTCTGGTTTTACCTTAAAAAGTAAGCTATTTAGTCTGTTTGTAGTAGCATCCACAGTTAATTTATCACGTTGTGTCCCAGCCTGCTCTTCCAGTGAAACAACTAATGATCAGGTTTTTAGGATGAAAAGACAACAGTTATCACGTTGTAACTCTTCATTAAATTACGATATTTAAGAATAAAATCAAAGAATTAATATAATGAACTCCAAATTCAGGTGCTAATATGCAGGGGCATATCGAAGAACATGTAATGAATTGTCAATCTATGCCTAAATTTCACACTCGATGACACTTCAGAGCATTTGACACAATATACATGGTTAATGGAACTGCATCCGGATCCTAGGACATCCTATCATTACTGATTTCTAGTCTCATTGTTTAAATAAAACTTTTGATGTGTGCTTTAATTTGCATGGGGGCATAGAGTAAAAAACAACGAATCAGCCATTTATGTAAGGGTAAAGCAATAATATACCACCATCCATCAATCAGTCAAATCTATACCTCAGTTGCAAGGAGAGACTTCACAAGTTCGGTCTGAGATGATACTGCAGTAATTCAAAACATAAGCATGCAGCTCTAAGAGATTAAACAGGTAATTCTGTAATCATTAAGAAACAATAAACTTGATGATTTGGAACGGCATAGTCACCTTTTATAGGCTTTCCATTAAGAAATGCACCTCCTCCACGTACACCAGTAAAAAGCTACATATGATGAACTCAAAGTTAACACACTTTCCTCAGCTAGTAGTACTTAAAAAGCAAATTTTCATATTTCAACCCAAAAGTTCCACTATAATATTTATCATTCGGACCATCATAATTCCATACTCTAATAGAATAAAAGTTATGGTTAATCACTTGAGCTTGACATTAGTGAAGATAAGAGTCCTAACCTCATCGATTATTGGATTGTAAACAACACCAACTGTTGGAATCTTTCCAATTGTAAGACCAATTGAGACACAGACAAAGGGGAACCTACAATCAATAATGTTCACATAAACAGCAATGAGAATCAATCAGCATAGAGACAAGAAACAATCATCTACAACACAAGAAGTGATTTTTACCCATGCACAAAGTTAGTGGTTCCATCCAGGGGATCAACTATCCATGTGGGGTCGTCAGTCAGCTCTGTTACTCCACAAGCAGCAGTAGTTTCTTCCCCAATGAACTAAAATTAACATCGACTAAAAAAATTCAGAAACGGAGAGAACAGAACTAGTCTTGGGATATACAATGCTATTTTAGGCACCAACGAGAAACTTTGTTGCTACATGGGAACGAGGAGTTAACCTTGTGTGTGGGGTAAAGGTTCTTGAGATGATTAAATATGAGATCTTCACATGCCTTATCAGTTTCTGTGACCAAATCCACCTGTGCTTGACAACAAAAATGGAGGATGAACAGAAAAATAGTTGTTCTAATTTTAAAATTTCAGTTCGCAATATCTTGTTACATAATACTGAGCCATCTCACTCAAACACATAAGATAAGTTTCTCCCTTTAATTGTACTTAACTTTCATGATCAAATTTATCATTTAGGAAAAAAATAATTTTAGCTCAATGCAGCATTTGGCTGCCAAGAAGATGATGGACGACAACTTATTCAAAAATCATTCACATATATGTCATCGATGCTTTACAAATAATTCAATTTTACAAATCATTCACTTAAAAAAGTTATACAATTATTGAATTAGCAATTCACAGCTAAATCGAAATTGACCAAACACCCATTTGATTAAATAATTAAAAGAAGAGAAGAGAAGAGAAGTTAAAAGACCTGGCCTTTATGCTCCACATGTTTGGTCTCGTAGAACCCTTTTCGAATGATCTGCAATTAATCATATACATACAGATACAAGACTTTGGTTCGACAAATGCGAAGTGAAAAATGAGATAAAATAAAATTAGCTGAAAAGAGTAGAGCTTTGGGAGGGGCTGTGGGGACTGACCTCGCCAGCTTTCTTGGCGGCGTCAACTGCAGAGGCGAGAAGCTGAGCAAGCGAATCTACACTCCACAGCATTTGCAGAACAAATTTCGATTAGTTTTTAGATATAAACAACAACGGCTATGGAAGCATATGAATTCTTCTATAAAAAAAAAATTAAAAAACGAGAAGAAGGAGATGGATGGAGTCCTACCATTTTCAGCCATTTTTCTGTGTGATGAGAGAAGGAATGCGGTGTTAATAATAATAGGAGATTTTGATGGGTGATGTTGATGACGATGGGTTCGTGCTCTGTTTCCGAGCTTTTCACGTAGCACTTAAAGCTGCCTAAGGTACTGAGACTGATAAATAAATAATGTAATATATATAGGCCATTCATTTATGGCATAGAGTATATGCCCTTGTGGTTGCTTTTATTTACTGATACACCCTTTAACATATTCCTTAAGCTTACGCCTGTGAAATTTCCATGAAAATGCCATTAGTCTCTAACTTCTGGCATCTTCTTGGTATTTCCCTGAATGCAAAAACAGTGTAGGCCTCTAAATTAAATTGCTAAATAATTACCCAGTGAAAAGATAATAATGTATGGGGTAAATTTAATGGTGGAGGTCATAATCGTCTAATCATAGATGGGAAGGTGCATGGAATATGCCAATAATATGCTGTGTACGTGATTCGTTGTTCGCTTGTCATTCATTCATATGGTCTCTGTCACATAACCCCGTATGGGCAGTGTAGGAATTTGGAACAAGTGCCGCTCCCCCACGATTTAAAGAACTATCACATGGAATATGCTCATTTTCTTCACCAATTGGTCAGTGTCCATCTACCTTTCCTTGTTTGATTGATTTTGTTTAAGAAGAAAAGAACTTATCTCCAGTTGCCTTTGGATTTCATGATATTATCCTATATCTCGCATGTACGGTTCCAAATTAGAGATTTGATTCTATGTACGTTTAGATCCATAATTATAACTTGATGGAATAGTTTGTGTTGGCAAGATTTCATGGCATGACGTTTAATTATATTTCTTACTGGCAAAAGCAAATGAAGATTTTAGCTTTACATTTTGGTGACTTAATTCTGGATTGTACTACTTTCACTGTGGGTTTGTAAACCTTGAAAGCTCTCCAAATCCAAATATGAATTATATTTTACGAAAAATTCCTAATTCGAGCACCTTTATCTTGCATATAGGTTGTTAATTTAAACAATACGATGCTAGTGGGAGTGGGGAACATTGCATGAATTCAAATACATTGCAAGACTACTTGGTTAACCATTCAATCATCGGCATCACCTACAACATTAAACATTTCAGATCAAAAACCATTAACAAAATTGCCCATAACAAAAGAACAAAAATTGAACATCAACTATTCAAATTTCTTTATTATAATTTATAGAGTCCAGACTCCATAGTACATATTTGAACATCAACTATTCAAATTTCTTTATTATAATTTATAGAGTCCATACTCCAGAGTACATATTTGCAGACAATAATAATTAAAACACGAAAAGATCATTCTCCTGAAAATTAGTTAGTCTTTGCTAATTTACGGAAGGAGATCAATTGCCTAAAATGCTCCCAACTCTTTTCCCAGACAATAACCACATAATTCTCTTCGGCAGCCGCTGCAGTTGTGGTGGTCGAAATGACAAGGCGAGAGTTGATGTTGGCCACCACCTGGGTCTCGCCGCAGATCACCCTCTGAAACACCAATTTCTTCTTGCCTTAGGCCTGCTTGTTGTATTTCGACACCGCAAACTATGCGATCTCTTTCACATAGGGGTCGCTGATGTCCTTTATGGGCTGATAATCTCCGACCAAGGCGACCCTATGGCCTGTGGCGGCAGCGGCGACCAGAGGATATCAATTGCAGAACAAATTTCGATTAGTTTTTAGTATGGCTGGGCTCGATTTGGGTTGGTTCAGTTTTGGGCTCAACCCAACACCGAACCGTAGGCTTCAGTTTGGCTATTTTGAAAACCAAAACCAAACCATAATTGATGAAAACTGACCACTTCGGTTAACCGGACTTGGTGGTTTGGTTTGGTTCGGTTTCGATTTTTTGGCTCTTAGAGAGAGAGAGAGAGAGAGAGAGAGAGAGAAGAAATAAAAGCGATGGAGAGGAGAAGAAGAAAAAAAGAGAGGGAGAGATGGAGAAGAAGAAGAAGATGAAGAGGAGAAAAAGAAAAGAGGGAGAAGAAGAAGAAGAAGAAGAGGGAGATGGGGAGAGGGACTGATGAAGACAAGACAAATGGAGAGATTGAGAGAGAAGACAAAAGAAAAGATTGAAACTATGTATTATATATCTATATATACATATATTTTTTATAATAATATTATATATAATATTTTTTATAATAATATTATATAAAATATTTTTTAATATCTTCGGTTTGGTTTGGTTAAACCGTGATTTTGAATATTGCAAACCGTACACCGAACCATATATTTCGGTTTGGTTTGGGTTCAAACCGATGACAAAAAAAAAATGAAAAAAAACCAAACCAACCCAACCCATCGGTTTGGTTTTGGCGGTTTGGTCGGGTTTCGGGTCCAAATGCCCAGCCCTAGTTTTTAGATATAAAAAACAACGGCTATGGAAGCACATGAATTCTTCTATTAAAAAAAAATGAGAAGAAAGAGATGGATGGGGTCCTACCGTTTTCAGCCATTTTTCTGTGTGATGAGAGAAGGAATGCGGTGTTAATAATAATAGGAGATGTTGATGACAATGGGTTCGTGCTCTGTTTCCGAGCTTTTCACATAGCACACTGAGACTGATAAATAAATAATGTAATATATATATATAGGCCATTCATTTATGGCATAGAGTATATGCCCATGTGGTTACTTTTATTTACTGATACACCCTTTAACATATTCCTTACATTATTCGTTGTTCGTAAGGAATATGTGTTCACCTGTTTTGATTTTGATCCTGTGATGGTAGGGTAAAGTTCCTTATTGGCTTGACAACCATTAGTGGTTAACAAATCAACTTTCTTTTGTGTGTGAGTGTGCCACTGCTGGCAGTGCAAAACCCTAGCAAACTTCTAAAAAATGGATAACTTGCGCCCCAAGTTATTGATTTTCAAACAAGCGATTGTGAATTTGGGTGAGGAATATCTCCCAAGTAAGTTATTTTCTTGCTCCAGACTGGTGAGGACTTAATAATTTTTCACAGTACAAAATGGGTAGTTCTGGCTAGAATAGACAAAAAGAAGTCGAACTGTTTTAGGCAGAACTGCATGTTACAGGACTCAAAAATGAAATGACAACTCCGAAACAAGACAACAGGATGTTGGATTTCCATTTCTGCTTGGATAATTGCCTCTGAACCGGGCTGGATTAGATGTGTCTGTGCTGGCTTGGCTCTTCAACGCCTTCAATTGTCAATACCAACGTTTGAGTTTGGCAGAGCTTCAATTTATTTCGAGCCATGGAAGACTTGTTGAACGGGCAAAATTGAGGCCTCTTCAGTCTGGAGAGGGCAAAAGTGGCTGGATTGATGATCACTGAGCTGCGTTATAGTGCCTGTTCTGCTTGACCAAGGCTCTCTGTAAATTTGTTGGGGTTTTCGTATTTGTGAAAAAACCCTGACTCTTCTTGACTTGGCTTTATGCTGAACTGAACTGAAATAAGAAATTTTGAATTTATAGCTGACTTGTTTCTTGTGGCTTAATGAGCTTTAGTTGCTTCAGTGTTTTGAAGGCTTTTGAGATCAAGTGATCATTTTGAGTTTGTTAGTTGTGACTTTGAGAGTTTTGTTTTGATTGGTTTTTTGGTTGTCTTGATCTGTTCACCTCCTCTTAGTTTTATAGAAAAAAGATGGAGTGGGGCTTCTAATATTTTAATAATGGGCGGCAGATTTTCCAAAAGAAAAGATCTTTTATTGTTAAATGCCAAGAAAAGGGAAATTTATCTATTCTGGTAGAAAAGCTATCAATAGTCAGTTCTTATGGTGATCACTTCCCTGCCTTTCCTGAAAGAAAACCTAATCCCTTTTTACTTTTTAACCACCCTTTGTAAGAATGCAATCTGCCATGATAGTTAGTTTGCTTTTCCTGATGAACAATTCCATGCTCCCTACTTATTTCTTTAGAAAATGTAGTCTGTTTATCTCTTGGAAATGACACCTGCTCTGCTGCATAATTTCTCTACATATAGAAAGGGTTTTTTTATCTTTTGGCTTCAAAGATTCAGAGAAGTCTCCCTGTAAGACATGCCTTCATTAACTTCCTATCAATTCCTCTGTAATAGTTGAAATTTTTTACTTTTCAAAGTCAGGTAGTCACGTGGGGCTCTTCTGAAAAAGCCATTTTTTAGTAAGGAAATATTTGTTGACTTTTTTTAGATCAAGTGGCTACTTTTGTGATTTGTTCAAAAGGGTCTGGGTTCTTTCAGTGCCTTGGTTTTTTCCTTCTGATTCTTGTAGATGAAAGCCCAAATGTTTGGTTCATGGGCCTCTCAACAAAAACGGGCCGGCGTGCAGAGTTTTGGCCCAAAAACAAGGTAAACTTTGGTGGCTTTTAAAAATGGCATGGGCTTTTCTAATTTTGGGATGGGCATGCCAAATTAGGCCCAAACAATATGTTAAAGGAATTTGGAACAAGTGTCATTCCCCGATGATTTAAAGAACTGTCACATGGAATATGTTCATTGTCTTCACCAATTGGCCAGTGCGCATCTGCCTTTCGTTGTTTAATTGATTTTGTTTAAGAAGAAAATAGCTTATCTCTAATTGCCGTTGGATTTCATGATATTATCCTATGTCCTGTGTGGGTTGTCGCATGTATGGTTCCAAATTAGAGGTTTGATTTTATGTATGTTTAGATCCATAATTATAACTTGATGGAATAGTTTGTGTTGGCAAGATTTCATGGCATGACGTTTAATTATATTTCTTGGTGGCAAAAGCAAATGAAGATTTTAGCTTTACATTTTGGTGACTTAATTCTGGATTGTACTACATTCACTGTCGGTTTGTAAACCTTGAAAGCTCTCCAAATCCAAATCCGAATTATATTTTACGAAAACTTCCTAATTTGAGCACCTTTATCTTGCATATAGGTGTTAATTTAAACAATACGACGCTAGTGAGAGTGGGAAGCATTGCATGAATTCAAATACATTACAAGACTGCCTGGTTAACCATTCAATCATCAGCATCACCTACAGCATTAAACATTTCATATCAAAAACCACTAACAAAATTGCCCATAACAAAAGAACAAAAATTGAACATCAACTATTCAAATTTCTTTATTATAATTTATAGAGTCCAGACTCTAGAGTACATATTTGCAGACGATAATAATTAAAATACGAAAGGATCATTCTCCTAAAAATTAGTTAGTCTTTGCTAATTTACGGAAGGAGGTCAATTGCCTAAAATTCTCCCAACTCTTTTCCCAGACAACAGCCACATATTTCTCTCCGGCAGCCGCTGCGGCTGTGGTGGCTGAAATGACAAGGCGAAAGTTGACGCCGGCCACCACCTGGGTCTCGCCGCAAATCACGCTCTGAAAAACCAATTTCTTCTTGCCTTGGGCCTGCTTGTTGTATTCCGACACCGCAAACTCTGCGATCTCTTTCACATGAGGGTCGTTGATGTCCTTTATGGGTTGATAACCGCCGACCCTATGGCCTGTGGCGGCGACGGCCACCAGAGGAGATCAATTGTAGAACAAATTTCGATTAGTTTTTAGATATAAACAACAACGGCTATGGAAGCACATGAATTCTTCTATAATTAAAATTATAAAAAAAAATAAAAAATAAAAATAAAAACGAGAAGAAATAGATGAATGGGGTCTTACCGTTTTCAGCCATTTTTCTGTGTGATGAGAGAAGGAATGCGGTGTTAATAATAATAGGAGATGTTGATGACGGTGGGTTCGTGCTCTGTTTGTGAGCTTTTCACGTAGCACACTGAGACTGATAAATAAATAATGTAATATATATAGGCCATTCATTTATGGCATAGAGTATATGCCCATGTGGTTGCTTTTATTTACTGATACACCCTTTAACATATTCCTTACATTATTCGTTGTTAGTAAGAAATATGTTAAAGGAATTTGGAACAAGTGCCACTCCCCCATTATTTAAAGAACTGTCACATGGAATATGTTCATTGTCTTCATCAATTGGCCAATGCGCATCTGCCTTTCACCAATTGGCCAGTGCGCATCTGCCTTTCGTTGTTTAATTGATTTTGTTTAAGAAAAAAATAGCTTATCTCCAGTTGCCTTCGGATTTCATGATATTATCCTATGTCCTGTGTGGGTTGTCGCATGTATGGTTCCAAATTAAAGGTTTGATTTTATGTATGTTTAGATCCATAATTATAACTTGATGGAATAGTTTGTATTGACAAGATTTCATGGCATGACGTTTAATTATATTTCTTGGTGGCAAAAGCAAATTAGGATTTTAGCTTTACATTTTGGTGACTTAATTATGGATTATACTACATTCACTGTGGGTTTGTAAACCTTGAAAACTCTCCAAATCCAAATCTGAATTATATTTTACGAAAACTTCCTAATTCAAGCACCTTTATCCTGCATATAGGTGTTAATTTAAACAATATGACGCTAGTGGGAGTGGGGAGCATTGCATGAATTCAAATACATTACAAGATTGCCGGGTTAACCATTCAATCATCGGCATCACCTACAGCATTAAACATTTGATCAATTTATTTATCTACCTTTTACAAAAGTATCATCGAGATAATTAGAAGAAACTACTACACATGGAGATTGAACAGAAGAAAAGGCTCCGAATGTTTGACAGCGTCATCATACACCAACGCCAACAACTATGACAACTCTAAGATTCACAATAAAAAGAACCAGAAACTCCAGCCAGATTCCACATACAAGACAATGTTACATTCATGAGTGGTCTTTAGGTTCCAAGGCAGCAATTTCTCTCACCACTTGAGCTTTGTCTGCCTCAAATTGTTCATCCTCTGCAACAAACCATTTTTGCAAACTTGTAAAGCCAGTCCCAAACCAACAGCAGCAAAGTGCAAATTGAATTAACTATATACCTTTATCAATCTTAAAATCAGCAAACAGCCGTAGAAGCTTGCTTCTATTTGCGACAAGTATGCTCACGATGTCAGCAGGTTTATTTTGATTAGCAGCAAATAGCTGTGAACAGAAAAACATGTCAACAACAAGAATCAAGGGTACCACTCCCCCTGAAAGTTAATAAATCACAATGGATGAACCAAACCTTGAAAACATGAAATGCTTCAATCTGGATGCTCTTGCTTGACTCCTGCAAATGCAGTAAAACCCACAACTTAGCACATTTTGGTTTGGTAATATATTAAAACTTTGTTTGTCCCATCCACCAAACAATCATCATCACAAACTCCACATGGCTTACATATATTGAAAATTTCTGAATATGAAATTAAATGCATCCTAAACCAACATTTTATTTTATTTTATTTAAAGGCCTACAAGGAGAAGGGGGGGCAGGGGTTCATGGCAATTAGTAGTAAAACAGGGTAGGAGAATATATCATACTCTGAGAAGATTCATAAGGATCCTCAAGTTGTCCCTTGAGCTCACATATCGAGTCATCACAGCTGAGTTTGACCGATCCAACAAAATATCTCCTAACAACTGCAAGGCATAAAGAATCTTCTTCAGCAAACGCCATAGTCACACGAGTTAAAATAGTCTCCACAAAAAACCAAATACGCAGCCTATCTCAAGAACATGATAAAACTAAAGAGAACACAAGGTACTTCAACTAGAAAGTTATAGTTCCAGAGGAGATTGGCACTCCGAGGTTAAGGCGTTATGCTATTTAAGAGATGGCTATTTAAGGTCGAATATTTATCATACCTTGACAGCTTGCCGTCTGGTAATGTAATTGGAGGATTCTAGAAGCTTTGAGTTATACTCCGCAAAAAACTGGCATAAAATTATCGAGTTCCAGTTAATAAGAAACCGTGATAATATAACAAAGGCAGCAACAACAGCAAGTCCAGAAACAAAAAATGTCAGAATACATATGAGTAACAAAACAAAATTACTGAAACACAACAAAGTAAACGAAATAATCCATTGTGACATTTATATGCTCTTTCCAAGTTCTTATTTTCCTTTCCCTTGAAGTAATTCTAATGTAATTATTCAATCAAATGCCGACACATGTTTCTTATTGTCCACATGCATATGTTCTGTGTAAATGGATGGACATAAATGAATACACACATCATCTGTATATCAAAAGAAAATGAAAAAACCCCTTACCCAGTCATAGTTCTTGGAAAGAAACTCCGCTACAGTAGATTTATGCCTCGTCAGGAGTTCCTGCAAGGAGATGTTACAGAACTTCAGAATGATTCTAGTGCAACTGCAACCAGACAAGTACACGAGTCGAAGAAGTGGTGGTAAAATGTACCCTCAATGATTTAAAAAACAAAAAATAAATTGTTCTTATATTTTTTATGAGCAATCCACAGTACAGCTATATCAGATTCCCTGTAAAATTTCGGATAAGAACATTGTGGATCAATAATTGCAATATTGTGGATTATCTACTATTAAACAGGGAAGCAGAATGTATCAAACATTTCCCACATGCATGAAGGACAAAGCATGCAGCATTTTGAGTGTTCAGCTTATCCCAAGGGCTGCAAAACCGTGCAGTAACTTCTAAAAGTGTAAAGATTCTTTTTTGTCTGAATCGGAGAGTGTAAATATTGTTACAAAAACAAACACATGACTGGTTTGGCCAAACTAACTCACCTTAAAAGTTGCAGCAGCATCTGCAGCAATATCAAAATTGGGGAGCTGTATATAATCAAAGAACTTCTTCATGTGTTCTGATTCCAAAACATATCTGCAATCAAAACAGAAATGTTCAAAAGGCAATTATGTAAGATCAAAGATAAATAAGATACACCTGATGTGGCAGAAAGCTACGAGTTGAAGCTACTAAATGATCCAAACATTCCATTTCCCACTTCTTAATGATATCTCGCGCAGCAATACAGTCAAATCTGAAGTTGAACAATGGACCAGGTTCATTTTGCATACCTTGCAACGGTTTGGTGGCGTATGCACTCCCTCAGCATTGCACCATAATGTAGAGCCATGTCTGTGTTTCCATACCTAAAAGATGTGGAATGTAATAATGAGAAGCCAAAGATTATAAAGTGAATTAAGATGAGATACTTTTTGAAACCCGCAACTGCCCCGCTTTTTCATAAAATAAAAAAGAATTTGGAAAAAGAAAAGAGATTGGGACCCTTATTTTAACTTGAAGAGTGATTCATAAAGAACAGACTAATAATTGGAATGTAATATTCAATTAAAAAAAAAAACAAAAAAAAAGATAAAGTAAATGTAGAGAACTCCAAGCATCAACAACATTGTCCTCTCTTTTTTATTCCAAAGTCCAATGAATCCCAAAGATGCCTGAATGTTTATGAAAACATCTTTTGACAACCACTTACTGGCCAAAGCAAAGGAACTTCTACATGTAATCATTACGTAAGAAGAAGATACCACAGATCTTCTCCAGAATTTCACAGGAGGTCATTGGTAACAAGTATTTCAATGTATCTCAAATTTGGGGAGTTCATGGTTTTCTGTGATTGAAATATTTGGACACATATAGAACACCATTGAAAATCAATGTCAATTAAAAGATAACTTTTCAAAGTAAACATATGCAAATCAATACATGGACTGTAAGGACCAAACAGAAACATTGCAATATAAAAGCACCGACACCGAGTATCCCAAGTCCTTGTGAATAGTCGCTTACCCTTGGATTAAAATATCCATCAAATCTATGTTTGCTTCCAAATAATCAGATGCAATCAACTTGGATTGAACTTGTTGTCTTTGCAAATTTGCAACAACTTGAGTGGCATCTTTTCGAGCCTGCAGAAAGTCAACCCAGAATGGAGCAAATGCGATTGAAGACAAGACAAGAGAAGGTGAGAGAAGAAGGGATTGACAATTACCTCCAAGTTCAATTTGGGAAGACACATAATGAGAAGTCGAAGCGTGTTCTCTTTAAAAAACTCCTGGGTCAATTGAGCACAAGCTTCTGAGACAGGCTCAGACTCACTATTGCCGTAGAGAATGGACTTCATCTCCCTGATGTTTTTACATAGCTCTGACATCTGGTTAGCAACGAAATTCCAAAACAGATCAGCTTGCGCAACACAAATTGCTCTAATAAATCAACCGCGCATTATGTAAGCCGTGCACTTTTGATTAAATCCAATGAACAAACAAGTTCGATTTCATTTAAATTAAACTAATTTGAAAGTAAGTCATGCACTTTATTATGATTTCTCTATTTGGTAGATTCCACCATAAAAAGATAGAAAAACAGAACACTAATCCCAATTTGTTTCAAATCTTCAAAATAAAAAACAAAAGAGAATCGGATCAAAATTTTAATAGAATAGAATCGGAACGTGAATTGATTGAGGGACGAACCTTCTCCTCGCGTTTGCTTTCGCGGGAATCGGGGGTGCGCTGGGCATAGATGAGGAGATCGCGGGTCTGGCGAACAACGTCGGCGGGGGTTCGGGGCTTGGATTTGAAGAGTCCCTTCATCTTGTTGTTGTTGTTGCTGCTATTGCGACGATGATGTTTCTCTATCTCTTCTTCTTGATGCCGTTTGGATTGCTCCCGTAGATGATGGTCTTGATGCTGCTGCTGCTGCGGTGGCTGAGGAGAGAGCCTCGGTGCCGTCAGAAGAAGGCTGGAGGAGGCTCTCCGCTGCCCACCTTGTTTGGACGACGCACAGATTCCTATCTTGTTTTGGTGTGTCGTAGGGTTAGTTAGTTGTGGCGGTTTCTTAATTCTGCTTTTCCCTAAATTTTGCCTCTAACCCAAATTAGCCTCACCCTCACACCCGATGAGTGATTAATTGCCTTTATTATCTTACATTTGCAGACACATAAATTATTGATAAATCAGGTTTTTTTTGTAATATTTATCTTCGAATAGGAATGGGGTATTCTTCTTATCCCACCAACGGTTGGTAGTTTGTAATCTGAATAGATTATAGATGGATGGATAGATAGATAGCGGATTGATTACCCGAGCGCATGTGCACGGGGAACATGACCTAAACTCTCAAAGACTAGTCCTTGTCCTTGTATGAGAGGGAGACAACTACTTTCCTGAATTAACCGGCCTCTATAGTCTATGGTGGTATTTCTTGGTAAAATATACCGACCGCGCTTCATCTCCTCCCATATCCTTGAAAGAGTGTTTCGAATCATATACTTACAGACAAAATTTTGATGGAAAATGAAAAACAAAACTCAAACCATATCGAGTCATAGTCATCTGCCCTATTGTTTGGTGTTTAGTTGTTAGGTAGTTTTAAATTATCTATGATAGAATATTTATCTTTGTAAATTTAATATTGGGTAAAATCATTGGACCCAATCCATGATCAAGACCTTCAACTTCATGATTTTCTGATGTTTCACGTGTTTGCTTAGTCACCTATGTTTTCTTCTCCTATGTATTTTGATCCAGAAAAAAAAACAAAAAGAACTTTCTATGTTCTAACCTGTAAATAGCGCTACAAACGAATGGATCGGATAGGTTTTAAACATTATCAGCAACAGAACACTTGCAATTTTCTCAGTTCTAACTTGGAGATCAGGTCAGTCAGACTGATGGAGATAAAAAAACCACTAACAAAATTGCCCAGAACAAAAGAACAAAAATTGAACATCAACTATTCAAATTTCTTTATTATAATTTAGAGTCCATACTCCAGAGTACACATTTGCATATTTGCAGACGATAATAATTAAAACACGAAAGGATCATTCTCCTGAAAATTACTTAAGTCTTTGCCAATTTACGGAAGGAGATCAATTGCCTAAAATGCTCCCAACTCTTTTCCCACACAACAGCCTCATAATTATCTCCGGCAGCCGCTGCGGCTGTGGGGTTGGACACCGCCGACGACTCATTCTTGGCCGAAATGACAAGGCGATACTTGATGCCGGCCACCACCTGGGTCTCGCCGCGGATCACGCTCTGAAACACCAACTTGTTCTTGCCTTGGGCCTGCTTGTTGTATTCCGACACCGCGAACTCTGCGATCTCTTTCACATGAGGGTCGCTGATGTTCTTTATGGGCTGATAACCGCCGACCAAGGCCTCCCTGTGGCCTGTGGAGGCGGCGGCCACCAGAGGAAGGACGAGGGCAACGAGTGCGAGGAGGCAGTGAGGACGCATCGTGACCGTTGATTTATTTCTCTGTTGGATTTCTTGATTTTTCTTGACTAACAATACTATCCTCATAAAGAGTGAGCAGCATTGGATTCGGAGGCGTGTATTTATACATGGGTGTGGTTGGGCAGTGGGCGCGCATAACGTGCAGGAATGTGAAGGATTGGCGTATACGGAAGGTTACAGATTGACTTCTGTTGTCCTCTATTTTACTCTCCAAATTTGCCCATTTCGGGATTATTTTCGCCCTTCCCTTCTATGTTCATTTCCAGATCCGGTGGGTAGCTGCTCTGGTTTCTTTGGTTTTTCTTCCATTTTTATTTGTATTATTCATATTTTTTTAGAGTAAAAGTTTGCATCTGGTGTATGTTTCCAGATTCGATGGGTAGCTGCTCTGGTTTCTTTGGTTTTTCTTCCATTTTTATTTGTAGTATTCATATTTTCTTTGGTTTCCTTGTTTGATTTGAGTTTGTTTGATTTGATGTTTCTTCCTTTTGTTGAACTTTTCTTTATAAAATATTTAAATATTACATTTTACATTTAGGTTAATCATTTTTAACTTTATATTAAATATTGAATATTTTTTCTATAAGTCCTTATAAGTCATTTTGTATATGGCTAAATTTGTCTTAAATTTTTTAAAGATAAGATAAGTAGGAAAATAAGAAGGGGAATACTAACAACCTTCTATCTAACCTTCTCCATTTTCCTCATGACATGTGTCATTTTCATTAAACTTAAAACAATGTCATTAATGCATTATATAAGCTAACTTTTGCTTTCCAAGTTTATCCTATTCAATTAATCTTTTTATTTTATTTTTGACAACTCTCTTACCATCTTAATAAAAAGTTTTTTTTTTAACGTTTTTTTTTTGGAAAGAATTGTATGCTTTCCTATCTTTTTTAACACAAAAGAAATGTCAATTTTCTATTTTATATATGTATATAAAAGTCATTCACATCCGTAAGCACCCCAATGGTACAAAGTTTACAGACTAACCTTTTTTTTTCATAAAGGAAATTGCTTGATTGCATTTTTTATACTACTAAATAAACCAAAATAATCCCTAAAGATTAAAGGAAATTGTCAAATGACTATTCACACTTGAAGTGACCTGTTTGAAATATTGAGGGCTGGATGGATATATAGAGTCATCGATAGTCCTTGGTTGGATAATGGAGACTGGCAGCAAAGGTAAATGATTTCTCTCAACCTGAAAATTATTGTCCAAATCTGTGTCATTTGGAGGTTACTTTCGACCTTGCCAAAGTATATCTAAATTTCACTATTATGGAAGAGGATCACGTACCCTAGGAAATATTATGAAATCACCCTTACTAATTAACTTTACCAAAAAGGAGAATTTGCCGGATTGAGGAGATAAGGGAGGGAAAGGAGTTAATGAGAAGATAAATTTTTGTATGATACTTGAGTATCGGTCACGTGATATAATTAGGTATTATATTATAAAATTAGAATGCAATAAAATCCTTTTGGATTGCAGTGATGATAACAGTTCAGATATTGTTTGTCATATTAAAGTATAAATTGCTAAAGTTATCTATTTGCGATATTTAGGCTATGTTTACTAATCTGTAATCGGGTGAGGATGAATTGAATTGAGAAAAAATTGAATTGAGGAAGAGTTGGATTGAGGAGGAGTTAGAATCTGAATTCCCATTGAAATTGTTTACTAAACTATCTGGAATCGAGGTAGGAATGATATTGATTCCTTATAAGTTGTTCACTATATTCCTATGAATTGGAATTGAATCCAATTTTGAATACTAAAATGCCATTGTTTGTTGGATTAAAAGGGATGGTAAATTTGAAACTTTAAAAAATTGTGTGAGGATATTATAGGTCAGTGATGACATGTACGTGAATAGTCACAAAAAAATAGACAAAAGATATGAAACACAAGAAAAACGTCGTACTAAACCATTCAACAATTGTACTAATTAATAAAACATCCTAACAGACAGACAGAATGAAGACAAGAGTAAGTAGTAGGCATGAATATATGCGTGCAAATTTAAGAATACCTAAAATTAATTGCCTTCTTTAGGAATTGCTGCAAAGGAGAGCAATTGCCTAAAATGCTTCCAAGCCTTCTCCAAGACAACACCCTCATAATAATTGAGGGAGAAGAGGGGATCAGGAATCGTCTCATTGGTGGCCCCAATGACGAGCCGATACCTGACACCCGATTCGACCATCGTCTCGCCCTTGGCCATGTTATAATACACCAACTTGTTCTGGACCGGCTCTGATTGCTTGCTGAACTCTGACAGCGCAAACTTTGCTATCTCTACCACGTGGGGGTCGCTCAGGTCCCCTACGGGCTGCCAACCGCCCACCTTCACGTCCCGTCCGTCTGCGGCACATACCACCAGAGCAAGAACCAGGGCCACGAGTGCAAGGAGGCAGTTTGAGCGCATTGTGACCGTTTGATTGATTTCTTTGATTATTTTGAAGGGTTTTCTCAACTGGCTTCTTCGGATCCACAAGTGAAGTGACCTGCATGCATTCGAGGGCTGGACTGGATATATATATATATAGAGAGGGAGAGAGGTGGTGAGTGGAACTTAGACCGGAAGGTAAAGACTTTTCTGTGACTTTCTTGCAATCTTTTTCATAATCTTTTCCATATATATTTGATATCACCCCATCACGTTTATTCGCAATTACCTTTGAATGGAGCCCGTGATTCTACAAAATCTGTAAATATTTTTTTCCTTTTCTTTTTCCATTTATTCGGAGGAGGAGGAAGCGATTTTCTTCCTTGAATTCAATTATTATCCAATTCTCACACACATGAAATAGGTTTTAGAATTCTAGGGTTTAGGTAAGAGTGAACAGTGATGGAGAATCACACACATTATTAATTTTCAAATCACGAACAAAATAACCTTAAAATATTGAAACAAGACACAAAAATTAAAAATTCAAGAAAATTCAGAAGTTTATTACCATTATTTGATACGCATACGTATCACCACATATATATGAAATCCCTCAATGTCAATACAGTGGGTCTTTTATTATAACTAAGGAATTTAAAGATACTAAATACATTATTAATTGGCTAATCGTTAAGTTGACGAAAAGAGTTCAATTTCCAAAGATCCTTCCAAGACTGCTCACACACACTAAGCTCATAATAGGCATGATTGAAACCTGCGGTGGAGTTAGGCAACGATCCATCCTTGGCCAAAACAACAAGCTGATAGTTCTGGCCCGCGACCATCTGGGTGTCTCCGCGGATGACCCTCTCAACCACCAACTTCTTGTGGGTTCGCAGGTTGTACATGGACACCGCGAACTCTGCCATCAACTTCAGACGAGGGTCACCGATGTTCTCTTTGGGTATGGGCTTCAAACCGCCAGGAATAGCCCGCTGAGGAGTAGCAGCCACCAGCATCAGAGGAAAGAGGAGGCCAATCAGTGCTAGGAGGAGCCAGTGAGAACGCATCTTCAGTCCGTGTGGCTTTCTTTTTCTCTTTTTTCTTGGTTTGAGTTGAGTCTCAGTCGAGGGATGGACAAGTTACGTTGGTCCCTTCCGTTATATATATTGGTGGGTTGGTGCTTAAGTTGGACGTGGACAAAAATGTAGATGGAAGGTTACAGAAAATTATGGCATAATTTGGAGATGAAGTCAGAAATTTGCGGTCCAAAAATTGTGGAAATTGGATGTATTGAGTTACGGCGGGGAGTAATTCAGTTTCTTCTTTATATAGGGAACGCTGATGATGGACAGTTTCTTTTGTATGAATTGTAAATAGTGAATTTTTTAACTTGTTTGAAGTCGTTTCGTTCCTTTAATTGTTACTGTTATTTGAGAGTTTAATTAGTTTTCCTCTTTGATCTTTTTTAATTGCTCTAGATTATCTATTTGCTTGAGTAATTGGATTAATTGGGTTCAGAAAACCATGTCCCCCCAAGTTTTTGCCTTGTTGAATTTGATCATGCAAGGGAAATTTTTTTGCTCAGTACAAGGAGAGAAGACACTAATCAAGCGCATGAAAAGGGAAAAAACAAACATGTTGACACCATGTTGACCTCACCTTCTGCTTTAAGCAAATCCCCAATTAAGAGATAGCCCTTACTTGTCATACCTCACATCCCACCAAACAAGGAGTAGCTAGCCATGCCCCCTCCCATGCCTTCTCAATGCCCAAGGCCCCAAATCAAGGGGAGGCCATGTAGTGTAGAATCTCCAAATCATGGAGAGCCATGCATTCTCTGCCACTACTTGGACTACAAAAGGGAGCACACCACCTCCAAGTAAAGGGAACCAGCGGCTGCCACTTCTCTAAGAGCTGTCCAAAGCTCTCCCAAACTCTCTATTTCTCTTCTATTAGAGCTCTCAAGCCTCTTTCTCCATATTTCTCTCATGTATGATGTACAATATGATCTCTATATTCAAATACAAATATAAAGCTATAAACTATAATGGATGTAGCCTCATTATGAGTGAACCACTCAAACACTTGTGTTATATATAATTATGTCTTAATCCGTTGTTTATAAATTCATCCGTTAACAAAATCGAAATACAACGCATAGATAATGTTACGTGCATGCATGCATGGACCAAGCTGTTGTCATATGTATTTGGTAGACCACGCTTGACTCAAACACCAACTTCTTCTTGGTTGGTTCTCCTTTTTGGCTTCTTTCCAAAATATCTCTCTTTTTTGGCATTTTCTAAAATGTCCCATGTTTAAATCCGAAGATGACGCATGAACAAAAAAAAAATCCGAATATGACGTTGATGCTCTGGACATGTTGTCCCGTCCGTCCCTACATGTAAATGAAAAAGGGCAAAACCCCCAGACACCACCAACACAACTATCTTGTTCTAATCGGACGAGCCTTTACAGCTCCCAGTGAATCATTAGAGCACTTCCAGCAGCCCCCTAAGGCTCGGGCTGGGGGGGGGGGGTGTGTGGGGGGAGAACCCAAAACAAGCTTCCAGCAACAAAGGCTAGCCCGGGCAGTGAGGGGTCCACTTGCATGGGCTGGCCCGAAGGCGGAGGGAGCCCGAGTGCGCGGCTGACATCATCGCTGATGTCAGCGTGACGTCAGCACGCGGTTTTGAATTTTTTTAACCGTTGGCGCGTGCAATGCGGGGGAAATGGAGAGATGCCCTCACAAAAGCGATGAATAACCATGCAAGCGGGGAAAATCTAAGCGATGAGGTAAATTATTTGTAATTTTCATTTTATTAGTTTTAATGTCCTATTAATTTTAATTTTAATGTTTCTTGCAATTGGTATATTTTGTTAATATTTCTTGTATTTCCATATGTATTTAAATGTTTCTTGCAATTTTTATATTTTGTTATTATTTCTTGTATTTCTAATATTTATTTAAATGGTTGTTGCATTCTCTATATTTTGTTAATATTTCTTGTATTTCCATATTTATTTGAATGTTTCTTGCAATTTGTATATATATTTTTTATTTCTTGTATTTCTAATATTTATTTGAATGTTTTTTGCATTCTCTATATTTTGTTAATATTTCTTGGATTTTCATTCATATCTTTATCTTTTTTGCATTACCAATATTTTTTTTAAGTTCCTTGCTTATTCAATTTTTTGTATATAGATTGTGCAAGCTCAAATGTGGTATGGTGCTACTGGACAAGGGAAATTTTTTTTCAACCATACCCAATGTTGGGAGGTGGTGAAGCATTGTAAGAGATTTAGCATTATTCCAACAGCTCAAACGGTGGTGTTAAACGAGACGCCACTCCATGATTCACAAGCTTCGGATTCGCCTATGAAATCCCCTATGAGTGAAGACTCACCCATTACGAGGCCTATTGGAAGGAAGGCGGCGAAGGCAAAGCAAGGAATTAATTCTACGAGTAATACCTCTAAATTTTTGGAGGAAATTGCAAGGCAAAGCGCCTTGAGAATTGAAATAGACAAGAAAGTCCAAGAAGATGATAGGGCAATGGCAATAGAATTTGCTAAAGAAAGGGAGTATCAATGCAAAGAAAACGAAGAAAAGAAGGATCGGGAAACCATGATCATGGATACAAGCCACATGTCTCCTGAAACAAAACAATAATGAAATTTTTGAGAAGATGTTAGTGTGAGAGGTTTGTGAGCTGAACCTTTGTTTTATAGAAAAATTTAGGTCGATAGACATGACACGTGGCGCAAGTTGATAGGGTGAAAATCTTATCCGAAATTTGAAATTCAAATAAAATGTATCTGAAATGTGAAATTCAAATGAAAAGTTGAAATTTATCTGAAATTTGAAATTCAGATGACACGTGGCGCAATTTTATAGGATAAAAATCTTATCCGAAATTTGAAACTCGGATGAAATTTATCTGAAATTGAAATTCAGATGAAATTTATCTGAAATTCAAATTCAAATGAAAAGTTGAAATTCAAATGAAATCTATCTGAAATTTGAAATTCAGATGAAATTTATATGAAATTGAAAATTTGAAATTTATATGAAATTTTATAAAAAAAATTATCATTGAATAGTACCCCTTGCCATGGCAACTGCCGGAAGTGGCAGTGAATAGTGTCTGCCCAGCCCCCCCTTGCCATGGCAACATTCTCACTGCTAGAAGTGCTCTTAAGCAACAGATACCCAGGCCAGGCAGGACTCTCCTTAAGATAGCAACAGCCCAGATCCAAATTGTGACTCCAAGTAGCCAACCCATCAGCTACATCATTCCTCTCTCCATAAATATGTTGAAGCTTAATCCTTTCCTTGGAAACAAATTCATAAGCTTTTTACAGCTACTGACCAGCCCAGCATTAGGATGACAAGCATTCAAAACCTTACTCTGAAGAAGAAGCACAGCAGTCTCTGAATCCATCTCAATAACATTATCATCTACTTTTTTCTGAACAGCCAAATTCAACCCAAAAAACAGACCCCACAACTCGGCTTCAAGCACTTTTCCCTGGCCTAAAAGCAGCAGCGACTTCAATTGTGCTGATAGATAGGGGAATTTATTCTCTATTGGCGTTTCTAGGGTTTCTTAGGGGAATTTATTCACTTTACTATGAAATATGAATTCAGGAAGATGAAATTGATATTTATCTGCTGGGAAGAAGTCACATCTTTTTCGTAATCAAAATTTCAGTATTTTTCAGCTGGATATTTCAAGTTCCAACTCTCATTCACGTCCTTCATCCTGCAAGAATCAACCGCGCTGGGCCTTTGCTCTTTTTAGGTAAAGGTAAATGATTTATGAATTGTTATTATTTACTCGGTAAAACCAGTCGTAAGTTCCCCTGTTTCTGCTCAATTCATCGATTGACTGATTACTACAATATATGCACGAAAAAACCAATAACTTGTTTTTGGCTATTTAATTGTTCATGCTCGTGGTGTTAGTATCATTAAGGTTACCATTGACTAGATAATTTACAAAACTTTCTCGACCTAAAAAACTATATGCACGCAGTTTCAGAGACAAGAGTAGAAGAGATCATCATGGAATCACCAATACAAGCTATGATCGAAACGCTGACGGAGCAAGTGTTCAAAGCTCTTGTGAACCAAGCTCAATTCTCAATTGAGTTTAGCGGCCAGTTTAAGCAGATGAAGACAGGGCTTGATCTTGCCAAGGCATTACTTGCAGACACAGAGAATCTCAATCGCAAGAACGAAACTGTCAGGGCAGGCTTGACACATTTGAAGGAAGTGATTTATAAAGCTGATGATGTACTCACAGATTGCTTGGTCAGACATGAATATATGAAAGATGCATCCTGGGCCGTTTACTTACTTCTCGATCCATTCTTCTGTCATCGTATGGGCAAGAAGCTGAGAGGCATTAATCAGCATATGAAGGAGATAGAGAAGACATTGGGCAGGTTTTTGAAGGCTCCAGATAGCATTCATGCAGATGATTCATACCAAGTTAGGGGAATTATGTCGCAGGACTGGAACCCAACTGACACCATTGGATTGGATGATGATGTCGAAAAGATAAAGGGTTGGATGTTTGACACCACCACACCGCTTCACCGCATAGGCATTGTGGGAATGGGGGGCTTAGGCAAAACCACCATTTCCCAGAAAATCTTTCATGATGTGAAAGTATTAGCCCACTTTGACAAGATGATATGGGTGTGTGTTTCGCAGTCTTTCAGCGCTGAGCGGATCATGAGGAGCATCCTGGAAAGGTTAGAAGAAAATGTCTTGGTTTTGGTCTTACTCAGATTTTGAGCAAAATTCAGGGAGGACTTAAAGGGAAGAGATGCCTCATTGTTATGGATGATGTGTGGAGTCACACAGAGGTGGACTGGTGGACTAACCTGTGTTCTGTTTTACCAAAAGAAAACAGCTGCATCATAATTACAACTAGAAATGAAGATGCTGCAATTAGTATGGGAGTTGAGAGCTCGCGAATTCACCGTCCCAATACTCTTAACGATGATGAAAGTTGGTCTTTGTTCTCCAAGTTTGCATTTTCTTCAAGCAGTGGAATATGCCCGGATGACCAGTTTGAAAATCTTGGAAAGGAACTCTTGAAGAAATGCGGCGGACTGCCACTAGCAATCAAGACCGTAGGATCCTTATTAGCATCAAAGATCAACTCCCCTTCCCAGTGGAGAGACATTCTTGAAAGTTTCCATGCCTTAACAACAGAGGGAAAAGCTAGTCCAGTTATGGCTTCTTTGCGGTTGAGCTATGATGAACTCCCGCCTTTTCTGAAACAATGCATGTTGTGTTTCTCCATCTACCGTGAAGACGCTGAGATAAGTGCTGATCAGTTAATTCACTGGTGGGTGGGAGAGGGCCTGGTTCAGGGAAAAGGCTCAAAAACAGCAGTAGAAGTGGGATGTGAATATCTTGCAGAACTTATCAGCAGATGCCTGGTTGAAATCGTGGAGCGGCGAGGCTTTGATGGGAAAGTCTATGAGTGCAAGATACATGATATGGTGAGAGAAATGATAATCATGATTGCGGAGGAGGAGGGGTTTTGCAGTTTCAACGAACAAAGCAGGCAGAAGTTGACAGCAAATTCTCGGTGGTTAAGTTTTATTGATGAAATGGATGAAAAATCGTTGAAATATAGTTCAAAGCTCAGGGCAATGTTACTGATGTCATGCCGCCGATTTGAGTTTGACAGGATTTCGGGGTTCCTGCGATCTCTGAGAATGTTGGATTTATCAAACTGCGCAGTGGATGAGACATGTGTGAAGGATCTCTTCAACTGGATCAGTTCCCTTAGGCGCCTAGCATCTTTGAACTTGAGTGGTATTCAAGCCTTAAAAGAAGTGCCATCCCCGATTCATAAACTCCTCAACCTCCAACTGTTGATTTTAAATCGGTGCAACCATCTAGAAAAGATACACCCATCAATCACAAATTTGAAGAAGCTGATTATCTTGGACCTTGTGGGGTGTCCCATCCAGTACTTGCCTCAGGGATTAGGAAGGCTGTTTTATCTTCAAGAACTCTCCGGATTCAGGGTTGTGAGTCAGCATAGAAAGCAATGTTTCCAGCTTCTTGAGATTAAGGACCTGATCCACCTAAGAGTACTGCGAATGCATATAAGTGATGTCACCATAATCACAGACAACGAACTTGATGTCTTATCTCAGCTTAAAATGCTCAAGGTTCTAGCTATTGATGCGGAAGATTGTAGAGAGAAAGATGTTTTCGAAATGCTAGATAAGCTGACCCCTCCTCCAAGCCTCCAAGAGCTATATCTGAAGAATTACCAACGAGAAACTCTCCCCAGCTGGGTCAATCCCCAACAGCTTTCTAGATTGAAATATCTTTGTATTGAGAATAGTGACCTTGTCAATCTAAGCAGTGGTCACCCCGCTTGGAAAGTCGAAGGTCTGTGTTTGAAGTACTTGATGAAGCTAGACATACAGTGGAAGGACTTGGAGAAGGATATGCCTGCACTACGCTACATGGATATTAGCCATTGCTACAAGCTGAAAGATTTCCCTTGCTCTGTTATCGAATCCGACAGCTGGAGAAAGAATCAAGATTAAGGTGTCAGATTGTTGAGAATTGACAAATCACCTGCTATTTGGAGGTATTGCTTAAATTTGATCATTGGTGACTTGAAGATAATTCTGGCTTCATCCTGGACTATTGCAGCAGTACACACCGATGCATCATTATTGGAGAAAAAATAAAGAAACCAGGACTGTTGTTTAACAGACATCTGGTTTCTTGCTGTAGCAATAACCATATAATTCTTGTTGGAGTGCAGTAGTGTTTTCTGTTATTGTTTTAGTTGAGAGGAAGAGTGCAGAGTGCAGTATTTTTAAATTACAAGGTATGTGCTTTCTATTTACTTGGTCATGTCCTGCGAGGATGATGAATTTGTATGTTATTCAAAATGGCGTGCATTCCATCTTGAACGTATCTGTAACACGAGTTTGTCTTTCGATTCATAACACAAGATTGTAAATTGCACTGTTGTATGAATAAGGATTCTGTGCTGAAGTTGAAGATGATATCTGTACATTATGCACTAAGTTAACAAAATTTGTATAACATATGCCTATTTGATGTTTACATCTGTCAAAGCTGAATCTGACATCAAGGATACAAAATTAAAGTAAGTAGACGACTAATGCTGATGAAATACATAATGCTTTTTGTTATAGCCTGAAACATCGCAAGACAACATAGCATTTTGAGATTTTCAAGTCATTGAACTTGTTCGCCAGTCCTAAATACATAAACTCCTGCAATAGCCAAAACTCAGTCATCATATCATTACAAAATCATGTACAACAACTACAGAAAATTAGTCAAAGATAGCTGATAAGAGATAAGAAACGTAATGTTACCAAGTGTAGGCATCAAAAGGGACAGCACAGCAATTCCAGCAATCTTTAATGGCAAGCCAATCTTAATCATGTCTTGGATTTCAATGTGGCCAGTTGCAAACCCTACGGTATTCGAAGGGGTTGCTGTTGGAAGCAAGAAAGCAAATTGAGCCCCAATGCCTCCTGGAATCATGAGAAGGAGTGGATGCACATGCATAGTTTTTGCTATTTGAATCAGGAGAGGAACAATAAGCGTCGCAGTGGCATTGTTTGATGTGATTAACTCAGTGATGGTACTACTGATGAGACAGACAGCCGGTGTCATGGCTAAATATGGGACTGCCTCCAAGAAATCTAAGCTTTCTGATAATATATCTGCAAGGCCACTAGATCGAACCCCGTCAGCGATGGCTAAACCGGCACCTAGTAACAATATGATGTTCCAGGGTAGCTTCTTGCATTTGTCCCAGTCCATCAACTTCTCGCCCTTTTGCTTTTTTCTTGGAATTATAAACAGCAAAGTTGCAATCATAACCTACATGGTTTCAAGTCACACTTCAAAATCTGATCCAACTACAAAAGGGAAGGCCTCTGTTAATCTTAAGCAATGTGAAGGGCCAATACTCACACTGACAGTTCCATCTCCGGCAAGCCCCTTGAAGAGGACTCCCCAGCCAGGAATATCCTCTGTTATGCTTCTTGTCATCCACAAAACTATCAGCATCTGCACAAAACTCTTCTTGTCATAAGAATTGGAAGACATATCCACATTCCAACACACTCAGAAGAACTACGCAAAACTAAGTGGCAACGCACCGAAAACAAAGCCAACACCATCTTCTCAGCATAAGCCATTGGACCTGCCCGTGCCGCATCAACACTAATAAGTTGATTTGGAAATACAATTAGCTACAAGGTGTTGTCTAGTGCCTAAAATTGGATAGTGAACATTAGGCCAATAATTCACACACCAGTTCAAATGTGTTGGCCTATTCTGGCATGTTGGGTTTTTCACAACTATTACCAAACAAAAAAGAGAGACAAAAGAGAGCAGAAAGATAGTAGGACCAATGCATTGAAAAAAAGAATGACAAATTGAGGTGCTCCCCTGTCCTACCAACCTAACATTTCGAGCTCCTCCTTCAAATGGGCTCTGTCGAAATAAACAGAGAGAGCCTGGCCTGAACTCCTGGAGCAATACAAGCAGCACAGTAAAGCCCACAAAGCCAAGAACATTAACAGAGCCGAAGGGAAAGCAAACAAGAACCAGGTGCTGAAGGTGACTGGAGCTGCCTCTGGGAAATAGCTCTGCCACATCCCAACCAATATGAGATTGACACCTGTCCCCGTGAGAGTGCTCATGCCTCCTATGGTTATGGAGTATAACACGCCAAGAACCACAGCTCTGCAAAACTTGCCCACAACGACGGACTGATTGGGGCCTGTCGGAAAGCGTCGAAGGATGCCGGTGGCGACGGGCATCATCATCACCGCCGTTGCCACGTTGTGCATCCACATGCTCACGAAGGCTGCGGTCCCACATATCCCCAGCAGCAGCAGTGGCGGATTCAGGGGATCTCCGCAGAACACCAGGGTTATCTATAAATAAATAAATAAAAGATTCAAAATTTATATGCAATGTGCGTTAATTGTTGTGAGAAAACCAAAACTAGAAGATAACTCACATTCAAGGCCAATCTTTTGTGTATATTATAATGCTCGACGGCAAGAGCCAATATGAAGCTTCCAAGAACAAGGGCAATGACATCGTTCATGTAAGAGTGGGCAACATCATCAGCAGAGGCAATGCCAAAGAGCGGGAAGAGGAAGAGCGGGGACATGGAGGTAATTGGCATGGGCACGGCCTCTGTGAGCCACCAAGCAAAAATCCATGCAAGCACTGCCAACATGTTGCGGCTGGTGGTGAGGGAGCCATCTAGGTTGACATGGAGACATATAATGGTGCTCAAAAGTGGCCCTAGCAGGATGTTGAAGTTGTTGGATGTTAGAATGGATTTCAATGATGAAGGGAATTTTATCTGTGACCTTTGGTTTGGATCATCAAGGGGGAGAAGTGGGGTTTTGGGGTCATTGGAGGGGGGAATATCCATTTGATTTCTTGTTGATATTAGAGTGTGAGCAAATTCACTTTTTCTTTCTAATGTTCCATTTTTGTGTTCATTAACCTGCAATTTGATACTAAATGTCATTTATTTGCAAAGGGTCATCCAATCATGTAGCATGGGAGTAGGGGCGCGTTATTGCCGCTCCTCTCTTGCATTCCCCATATTCTTGGAGAAAAAAAGGGGCGTCTCATGCATATAGCCCATACGCCACTCACATTATATACTAAATGTGAGACTCCCGGGCGTAGACAAGTTTTTCTCGTATTCTTGAGCATAACTGCAAGTAATGTTGTAGGAAAAGCAAATATAGCATTCTCCTAAGAAACTTTTATACAACACATACAGATCAGAGAAATAATGAGATACACAGAATTGAAAATTATATATAATTGCAAATGGCTGGGATCATAGATGTACATACAAAGCTCTACCTACCAACGAAGGAATGCAAAAAAGAAGCAGGGGAAAATTGTGAGAGGAGAAGTAGTTTTGTGCTTGTGAGTGTGACTACATATATACACACACACACACACACATATAATATTTTTCTTATGCCCTGAGCCTGACATTTCACAAGACATGAAAATATTTCGAATTTTCTAGTCATTGAACTGGTTCGTTAGTCCCAAATACATATGCTCCTGCAATAGCCAAAAATTCATTAGTGACTTGTGAAAATTGGTCAAAAACAAAATAGTTAGCTGATAACTGAGACACTAGGAATGTTACCAAGTGTAGGCATCAAAAGGGAGAGCACAGCAATTCCAGCAATCTTTAATGGCAACCCGGTTTTGATCATATCTTGGATTTCAATGTGGCCAGTGGTAAATCCAACTACATTTGAAGGTGTTCCTGTTGGAAGCAAGAAAGAAAATTGTGCCCCAATGGCTCCAGGAACCATAAGAAGGAGTGGATTTACATGCATGATTTTGGCTATTTGAATTAGAAGAGGCACAACCAGCGTGGTGGTGGAGTTGTTTGATGTAAACTCAGTGATGGTGCTACTTATGAAACAGACGGCAGGAGCAATGGCAAAATATGGAACTGCCTCCAAGAAATCTAAGGCTTTTGATAAAATGTCTGCAAGGCCACTGGTTCGAACTCCGTCGGCAATGGCAAAACCAGCTCCTAGTAACAATATGATGTTCCAAGGTAGCTTCTTGCATTTGTTCCAGTCCATCAACTTCTCTCCCTTTTGCTTTTTGTTCGGAATTATGAACAGCAAAGTTGCCATCATGACCTACATGGTTAATTTCTAATTAATCCAAATTCACAACAAAAGGTCATTTTCAAGTTTTGTTGTTAAATTTTGAAGGGCCAAGCAAATACTCACACTGACAGTTCCATCACCAGCACGCCCTTTGAAGAGGGCTCCCCACCCAGGAATGTCATCTGTTATGCTTCTTGTCATCCACAAAACTATCAGCATCTGCACAAAACTCTGTTTGTCATCATCATAATTATAATTGAAACACATATATGTACACTTGAAAACGAAGTCAACATGTATGTACGTACACTTGAAAACGAAGTAAAAGTTAAACGTACCGAAAACACAGCCAATACCATCTTCTCGGCAAAAACCATTGGACCTGTCTCATCACAACAACACTTGTAATTAGCTGACTTGGAAATATGAATTAGACGGAAGGTGATGAGTTCAATTCAGATTCAGAGAGAAAATAAAAGAGAAAAATAGACACTAACTGATTATAATATTGTACCTAACATTTCAAGCTCCCTCTTCAAATGGGCCTTGTCCAAATAACCAGAGAGAGCCTGGCTTGAATTCCTTGAGCAATACAAGCAACAGAGTATAACCCACAAAGCCAAGAACATGAGCAAGGCCAAAGGGAACCCAAAAAAGAACCAGGTGCTGAAGCTGATGGGCTCTGCCTCTGGAAAATAGCTCTTCCACATTCCGACCAATATGAGATTGACACCTGTCCCCGTGAGAGTGCTCATCCCTCCTATGGCTGTAGAATATATCACCCCCAGAACCACGGCCCTGCAGAACTTGCTCACAGCGACGGACTGGTCGGGACCCACTGGAAAGCGCTGGAGGATCCCGGTGGCGACCGGCATCATTATCACAGCTGCTGCCACGTTGTGCATCCACATGCTGACGAAAGCTGTCGTGGCGCATATCCCCAGCAGGAGCAGCGGGGGACTCAGTGGATCTCCGCAGAATAGCATGGTTATCTGTGTGGATGGCCCACCACATACCGTGAATCACTTTCAGTCTCAGTCTCACTCGAATAATAATTGAGACAACATTTTAGTACGATAATTCAGAATTTAAAATGCTTTTTATGCTTGAAATTGACAACAATGATTGTAATATTTAATTTATGTAACAAGTCGAAGTGAACATACGTAAAACAAGGATTTCTTTTTTACATAACCATCCTTAACTATTCTAGTGCACGGAGGAGATAGAGATGAAACTCGAGTACAGAGTGCGGTCAACTGGCCTAACTTACGTATTTAAACATAGGTTACTATTTAACATATGATAGGACCAACAGTAACAAAAATTCTGAATTAGTTTTCTGGTTAGATCATAGGGGTTAATTAAGAAAAGATGACTAAGTTTGAAAAACTAAGCCATATTATTATTATTATATTAGAGTAGAGATTGGAGATTGGAGATTAGAGAAACTGACATTCAAGGCCAATCTTCTGTGTATGTTATAATGCTCAACAGCGAGAGCCAGTATGAAGCTTCCAAGAACAAGCGCAATGACATCATCCATGTAAGAGTGAGCGACATCATCGGCAGAGGCAATTCCAAAGAGCGGGAAGAGAAAGAGCGGAGACATGGAGGTGATGGGCATAGGCACAGCCTCTGTGAGCCACCAAGCAAAGACCCAAACAAGCACTGCCAGCATGTTCCGGCTAGCCACGGGGCCATCTAGCTTCACACAGAGGCATATAATGGTGCACAGAAGAGGTCCTAGGAGGACGGACAAGGTCTTGAGTGTTAGAATGGATTTCAAACCTGACAGGAAGCTTTGTGAGCGTTGGATTAGATTGTGATCATGATCGTGGTGGAGAGGGAGAAGTGGGGATTTGGGGTCATCGGAGATGGGATGATCCATCTGAAAATTAATTGAGTTTGGATTGGAGCAATGAATATAAATGGTTGCTGGCTTTTGTATAGAAGAAAGGAAGTAGCAGACGAGTCTGCCTTTCCTTTTATAATTACGATGTTCCACATTTACACTCTTGTATTCTAGTGTTTACTAAATTGGATTTTGCCACTAATAAATGCTATTTATTTGCTAAGGGTATAGCATTTTGTTATTAGAGAGTAGAGACGGTCTTCCACTCCAATTTGGTGGGGCCCGGAGTCCAGAGTCCACGATTTAAAGCCACATGTGCAGAGAGAGAACCACAGGAATTGCCTCAACCATGATTCATGAACCAGAGAGAGAAGAATAATGCCTGGCTATGATCTGCATGATTGATTATAATATGTCACGGAATATGTCGATATTACAATATTATAAAAGGAAAGAAAGAAAACAAAATAAGTGGTGGATAAACTCTGTTTTCTTGACCTCAAAATGAGGTGTCTGTACAAGTGGCAGAGCCCAATTTGTTACGTGGCTGAAGATGATTTAAGTCCACTTTGGTTCCTATCTGATGGGAGAGCATATAATTCACATCATGCATCATGAATCATGAATCACGAATCATGAATCATCGGCCTCGCGAGTCGCGACGACGGGCCCATGAACAAATAATGTTCAATCATGTTCATGGTTGCCCAATCTAATAATTAGGGTTTCAAGGACAAAAGGAGGAACGTGTGGGGGACTGAAAACAGGACTATCATCACAATAATGCAGAATTATGTCCATGTGGATGGGTACGGCAGCATCAATCATCATGTGATGCCACGTTGCTCTGTTTTCTGTCATGATCAATCGCTACTAGTAAACTCTAGAAGGAAGAAGAACAAACAAGTTTATTAATTCTTTGATTTGTCACAGAGAAAATGAATTAACCTTTCAATTTCTCTCTTCTCCTCACACACCAACGGACAGACGGACAGACGGACAGACGGACAGAGAAAGAAAAACGCAAATGGCTTCAAAATGAGTGACTTGGGAAGAAGTTTCGTGCTCTGTTTTTTAGCATGCAATCCTTAACAGCTTCAGATCATACTATCATCATTCAGTTCAGTGGGACAAAGATCGTGTTGTCTCTCTTCTTCTTTCTACACTGACTTCGAGACTGATCAAAATTTTCGACTTCTTTCGACCATGAAAGAAAATGAAGAAAAAAAAACGTGGGATTTGGATTTCCTTCAGTTTTTCTGGCAAGTGTTGTACAGCTTTAGCTTTCCCAGAGATGATGTGCAAAGTCACAACAAATTCACATTTGCAATTAAACTAAAATGTCAGATGTTATGAGTACAAGTTGGTTAGAGCTCCTCATTTTCGGGCTGAGTTCAAATCTCCCTCCCGTAATTTAGATTATATTAAAGTAGAATATCGCTTGTATATAAAATTAAAATAAATAAATAAAAACCAGCCACAAGTTATTTAAGGTTGAGAATTAGAGCTGGATTCGTCTCAAACACCTATTCTATCTTTGCAATTAAACTCCACATATCCCTTCTATCTCCCTCCTCATCTAAATCTTTGCAAACTTGTGGCCTGAGAAGCTACAGAACTTTTTGGGCTAATTTTGAATTTTCGGGGATGAGTTTTTACCTTACTAGGCCCAAACTTACGAATTGAACCAACCCATTTCTCCAGATATGGAGGCCCATTTTAGTCGAATTTATGTCAAGATGATTCCAATTAGATAATTTTAATTTCAATTATGTGTGTGTATATATATATATATATCGTGAAGCAGGTATTGTGGACCTGAAACTGATGAATAAAAATAGGAGAAAGAAGAGAAAAGGAGGTTTGCTGTTGCTCATTTGCTAGCTCCACGTTTGCTCAATTCCCGTGGGAAAGTCAAAATCACCCTTCTTTATTCAATTCTAAGGGATAATTCTGTAAAAACGAGCGCTCTCGGCCTTATGTTTCTCGCGTTTCTCTCCAACAATCTCCACTCACACTCGCCCAACTGCAATAACACTGAGAAACTGAAAACCCTAGCTGAGAGAAAAAGAAAGCAAATTTAAGAAATGAAGACTCCAACATCTAGCACAGAGACACAGCTTGAAATCCAAGCAATCATGGCGGAACTCCCACCTGAGGTCATCATCAACATACTCTCTCGTCTACAAGTTGGCCGCCTCCTCTGCTTCAGGTCCATTGCCAAAACATGGCGTTCCCTCATCGACAGCCCCTATTTCGTCGATCTCCACCTTGAAAAATCCGCAGAAGCCAAATCCCATCTCAGTTTGATTCTCAGAAAGGACTCTGACCTCTATTACATCAATTTCGATTCCTTAGACGACGCCGTCGAGCTCAATCACCCCCTCATGTGTTACAGCAATCGAATTCGCGTCTTGGGCTCCTGCAACGGCCTCTTGTGCATTTGTAATGTGGCCGAAGACATCGCTCTCTGGAATCCATCTACCAAAAAGTACAGGGTATTGCCCTCTCTGCCCTCCGATCGAAAGCGCGACTCGGGCATGTGTTTGTGTGGTGCGAGGGTTTATGGGCTCGGATACGACGCCGGTCACGATGACTATAAGTTGGTCAGGATTTCCCAGTTCATCGGATTGGATTACCTCTCGTTTGAGTCTGAGGTGAAGGTTTATAGCCTCAGAAACAATGCGTGGAAGAAAGTCGAAGACATGCCTTATGTGCTCTGTTATACACGAAAAATGGGTATTCTTGTGAGTGGTTGTGTGCATTGGGTGGTGACCCGGCAGCTTGAATTGGATCAACTTGCAACCGAATTGGTCATTGCCTTTGACATTGTGAAGGAGACTTTTCGGGAGGTGCCGATGCCGGAGAGCATGAACAGGAAATGCCAGATTGATGTGGGGTACTTGGGAGGGTGTCTTTGTATTGTAGCTAAATATGAAGATGCGGGTGTTGATGTTTGGACGCTAAAGGAGTATGGGGTTAAGGAGTCTTGGAGTAAGTTGCTTACCTTAACGCAGGCTCGAAGGATTAAGAGTGTTAGGCCTCTGGTGTATTCAAAAAATGGCCGTGAAGTTTTGTTGGAACAAGACCACGAAAATCTTGTTTGGTTTGACTTGAAAAGTCAGAGGGTCAAGAATGTTAAGGTTCGCGGTTTGCCGGATTTGTTTGAGGCTGTAGTATGTATGGAAAGCCTTGTTTCAGTTCATCCTAGTAGACGAGATGATAGGAAAAAGCAGGAATCTGTAGGGGGGAGGAAGAATAAGAAGAGGTAAATGACATGAATTTTTGCACTTCATTGCCAATTTATTTCTTTGTATCTGCAATGAGTATCCATGTTGTGATTATTGAGATTGTTTTGGCATTGTTTTCATTGTGTGGCATAATTCCGATTCATTAGTAACACGCTAACATAACAGGGTATCTGATCTCTAATCTATCGATAGTTTCTTTTATTTGGCTGAAGCGGTTTAAATTTACTCCGATTCCCTGCCGAATTAATGTTTTATCTGGTTTTCTTAAGTGTTGCTTATTTTGCTGTAATATTGTTATATCTACTATTATATGAATCGGTAGTCTTTGCCTCATGAGTTGAGTTGGTCCTTGTATTTATCAGGGATGATTTCCTGGCTGAAGGCTTCAAGTTGGTGCTTTAGGCAATCAGAAAAGAAGACAAGAACAAAGAGTGGAGAGGTAATTTTCTGAATTATCCTTGTACTCTAGTTTAGATAGCTCCCTTGTTTTATTTCTCAGTTGTTTGCTTCGAAAAAAGGTAGGAACCGGGGATATCTAAAAGTTGAATGCATGAGTCTCATTCACCCGCCTATTTTGGTCTTTGACACATTTGTTTCTCTTAGGGCTGAAGATGAAGGAACCATGTTGAATTTGAGCTGAGCACATTCGTGTGTCAGACGACTAGAGCATAATTACCTTACAATACTTGAACTTCCTTTGTAGGAACATACTCAAGTCAGGTTTTGTCCAATCGTTACCATATCAGGTGCGCATTTCTTCTTCCACAGCTGCTAACCAACAACAAGGAGGTGCCTTCTGTAAGACTCTTTTTCTTCCAGTTAAGACCTTCTGTAAGAGATCCTGAATGCGATAATCACGTACTTTCTAATACAGTTACTGTGCTGTTGTTGAATGTAATAGTTACTGTGCTGTTGTTGAATGTAATAATCACTACGTTTTTTAATGTAATTAGTCTGTGTGCTTTCGAATTTTGTATGTACAGAAAATGACTATGTAGGAACTTAAAACCTTTTAAATCAACAAGTATAGCATTCTCTTGGTTCAGTTTGATTGTTTTTGGCAATTGTGTTCGAACATGCGTGGCTTTGAACATTAGGGTTTGACTTTTGTGCTTCACTGTAAATACGCGTGCGCCACAGGTGTAGTGTTGACATCTATGTCCTTCATCTTGTTGGGTTCCTCAATTGATGGATGAAAACATCAGCTCAAGTTAGTTTAGTGTTGTTGGAGTACCCACGCGTTACTCACGTGTTATTGTTAGCATCTGTTAAGCATGGCTGTTAGTTACTTAAGCCTTCAGTCCTTACAATTGTGTATAAGCTAAACTGTAGATTGTAATATTCATTCAGTGAAATTCATACAGAAAATCTCAATATTTTCTCTCTGTTCTCAGTCTCCTTCTTCCTTTGTTTTCTGTTATCATCAATGAGGGATCAGGTGAGGGTTGCTCAGTGGATATGGGTCCCTATCTCACGCTGTAAGAAAGTGGCTGGAATGAGAAAATTGCATGCTAATCACTAGATTATGATAGAAAAAGCACTTCTCATACTCTCTGATTCACTGGATCGACTTGACGTTTTGTCCCGTCTTTGTAACAGTTTGGGAGGAAAAGACAACAGCCTGTCTGACTCTGTATTGAACTTTGTTGGCCAGCTCCAGCTCTGGTCGTCCAGGCGAGAGTGATATTATTATTGACAAGTTTCACACTTTTTCACTATGTATTGGATTCAGAGCGATGTTAATTTAGATGGTCTATCTATGGCTTAGCTTGCGGGCGAGGAGCTGATTAAAATAGGTCGTCAGTGATACTGAAGGAGGAGCGCTTAGAAACTAGTTTTCTAAAGTCATCTGAGTGCATTTGCAGACCAGAGACTTTTTTTGTTTTAGTATCATATTTGGGCCTCTAAAAGGTGAGAAGACTCGAGGAAGAAGCTCCTTGGAGGCTAAGTAAAGCCAATTTCCATATTTGATTGGGAATTTTAATTTCATTGTCCATTTAAAACACCGTTCCACTCAATCCATTGTGTATTTTATGTTTCATTAGTTTAATAATAAGCTGCTGATATTGGCAGCTGAAACAAGCTTAGACTGACTTGAGTGTGTGTGTGTGTGTGTTTGTGTGTGTAAGAGAAAGAAACCGTCAAAGCATTAGGCCAGTCATGTTTTGCATTGGATTGGATGGCTTTTTGCTGGTGGCAGTCCAACTTTCTTTTTCTATGGTTATTATTATTGAAAAAGTATGTGGGAAAAGAGAACGCAATGGAAATTAAAGAGCGAGTGCTGCTGAAAAGAAAAAGAAGAAGAGCAACGTAGAAATTCAGTAACAGGAAGAAGAACCACGTCTCCTTTACAGTTTACACGCACATACATACATTATACATTATGCATATACAGTTACTAGTTAGAGCCCTTTTACCCACCTCTTTACTATTCCAGCCTTTTCTTTTCCTTTTCTTTTCTTCAGGCCCCCCTCTTTTTGAAAATTTAAACCAATTTGTATTTGTTGATTTTAATGGATTTACAAATTAGAAAATGTACCACATCAACAAAATTGGGATTCTAAATTTTTGAACGTGTACCAATTATTATGCCCATAAGTAGAACTTGCGCTTAAAAACTGGCTTGAGCTCTCTTAATCCAGACTATAAAGATCGCTCTTTCTGTGAAATTGGGCTCAATTCCGCATTCCCCTCGCGTTACATGTCAAAACGCGATTCCGATATCAATTGTTAAGAACTATTAAGTAGAACTTGCTCTAAAAATCAGATTGGCTGGCTCGTTTAGTTTCAGAAACGCCTTTTACGACTCGCTCAACACCTAAAGTTACAAGTAGCAGAACGAGAGAACAGAGGGCATTTTTGTAATTCAATTGAATTGAAACACAAACATTAAATAAATCGAAATATATATAAAGAAATATATAATAGCGTGGGATTACAGTCTTTGTAGATGACGGCTGTGAAGCCCAGACGTGAGACGACCCCTTCCCGATCATTGTCTTCCCCAATTCCCCTCGCGTTTCTTCTCACACACACTCACCCTTAATTTTATTCTGCGTTTCATTTTCGCGATTTGCTTCCCGGGGCGGCTGCGATTCCATGCACCCACGCCCACCGTGCGCTTGAATTTTTCCAGGAACCGGCTGGCGGGTGGGCCCCACCTGTAAATGTCCATCACCGGGAGCCCCACCACCAGCACCGTCGATTGCGCCTACCAGCGCAGCGACAGCACAGCCCTTGCCGCCGTCGCCGCCGCGGTGGATCAACTACACCAGCGATTGTCCTCCAAGCGCAAATTAGACGACTATGGCGGGCCCACCTTCTCCGACGACGAGGACGACGCCGTTCTCTCTGACCTAGTACACGTCAGAATGAGGAAGGACGAGCCCAACGCCGTCGATTCGTCGTCCAACGGCGCCGCCAACCCCCCTCACTCCTCAGGCAACACCGACCACCTCAATTCCAGGGTTCCCAATGCCCGATCGACCTCTCACGGCGAGTCCACCCACCCCGAGTCGACTCGGTCCCGAGCCATGCTCCAATTCTTCATCCGAACCATGTCGGGGGGCAACAATCTTGTAATCCAGGCCTACGCTCACGACACCGTGAAATCGCTGCACGAGCGCATCCAAACGATCACTGGCATTCCGGTTTTCGAGCAGAGGCTTATTTACAGAGGCAAACAGCTTCAGTGGGAGCAGTCACTGGCCGAGTGCTCCATCCAGAACGACGCCAGTTTGCAACTGGTGGGGCGCTTGCGAAGCACCGACCACCCCCAGGCGTGGCAAGTCCTGGAGGACATAGTCACCACAGCATTTCGGTTGTGCCGAGGTGAAGTGGTTCACGAACCATCGAAATACATCAAGAGCCGGATGAGCCAGTACTTGGCCATGGCTCAGAAGGAGAAGAACGACTCTGGGGTTAGCCATCTCCAGGTCTTCGTCCCGTCCTCGGCCCCCTTGGCACTGCTGATGCTGTATGTTTCTCCTCTTCCAGGTAACAAAACGGTTGCTGAAACTTCGATAAAGTATTTTCTGAATTCCTACTCTACTTTGTTGCCCAAACACTTGCATAATCACTGCGCGCCTATAGTGTTAGAGTTTTGTAAGTTTCTTAGGAGATTAGGGCAGGAGGACCCCCTGTACCTACTGTGCCGGAGCGCTCTTGGTTCCTTGTTGGAAAATGTTGGAAATTTGCAGGACTCGGAGAGTGTTGAGGGATTGATTGGCGGGTTGAAGGAGATATCTCCATTTGTTAGTGAGCTGGCAACTATCTTGTCCAGGGATTTGTTACTGAGTATGGAGTTTCCTACTTGTGGCAGGCCGATGTCAGATGATGTAAGTGATTTTAAGGCATTCTTGCTCCCTTTGCGTACTGCAGTTGAGCAGCAAGTGCGTTTCAAGGGTCCCATTTCTGCATCCTTGAAAGGGAAGGCTTGTAAGCATCCCTTGTATGGGGAAGAGATTGAGCTTCTGCGTGTCATACAGGCTGATTTGCTCCTAAAAATGGATGAATGCCTTGGAAAAATGGGAGAGTCTTTGGCTGGGAAAGGAAAGGGGGAGGGTGATATTGTTCATTCTGGATGGTCACAGTATCTGGCCATTTTGAAGGAGTTGAGTGGAATTTGTATACTTTACCAGGGCGGGGAAGAACAACTCAAGAATATTCTGAGGCTTAGAAGGCCTTCTTTATGTGCACTCGTTGTCAAATGTGCAAAGCGAAGTGACGATCATCAGTGGCTTATTCAGCACAAAGATGTGCTTGATTTCGAGTCTCGGAGGCATTTGGCAATGATGATGTTCCCTGATGTTAAAGAAGACTACGAGGAGCTGCATGAGATGCTCATTGATAGGTCTCAATTGTTGGCTGAATCATTTGAGTACATAGGACGCGCGGAACCTGAGTCACTGCACGGTGGTTTATTTATGGAATTCAAAAATGAGGAAGCTACAGGTCCAGGTGTGCTGCGGGAGTGGTTCTTTTTGGTATGCCAGGCCATATTTAATCCCCAAAATGCACTTTTTGTTGCATGCCCTCATGATCATAGAAGGTTCTATCCTAATCCAGGTGTGCTTACTATGCCCTTTTAATGCATGGTGTTCTTGAACATCAAAAATAATTTTGTTTTCATTTTTGCTTGTCTTGACTTTTTTTTTATAAAAAAATTATCTCCATTTTTTTATGGAAATGGTTGACGAAATCCTTTTATAGCATTTATACATAGATGAGTGTTGAAATATGATTTGGTATTGACCCAAGATTTTGGCATATAAGTTCCAAATTGCCGACAGACATTACAGTCTTGGTAAGTTGATAAATATGATGAAACACCAATGCTTAGATTTTGTGTTGTTTATCAAAATCACTAAACATGTCTCAGTTGTGCTTGTATGAGAGAGAGC